GCCAGGTCTCCTGATCCATCTGGTCACCAGTTAATATCGGCTACGTGCGACGTGCACGTAACACAAGGCTGGAAGGCAAGGAAGGTTTTTCAGGAAAATGCTGCCCACTCTGATAAAGGTGAAGAGCTGGACAAGTTTCCACACGGATGGCACCAGTTTCAGACAAACACTTGGTAATTTTTAATTTGTAACACAACTACCTGAGCTGCTGCTCATACATATGTGTACACATTTGAGTTCAAGGGAATGGGAAGTACGAGGGTACAGAGGAGTGACTTCAGCCTCCCATAACGAATGCAGCAGTGCAGAATCATTTGTTCTTCCCTTTCTGTTGCACACACAGGAAACATCTGATTTTTGTTTCAGTGAAGTATTTTTGGGGGGTGAAAAGGTTGGTTTTAAAGTTCATTCTGTTCCTACAAAGGAAAAGAGGAGCTTTGGAAGAATACACGGTTTGTTTCACTAAAAAAGACAGATCCTTAATATTGTTCCTCACTGTGCCAAACTTGCTCTTACTCGTGGATGTGACAACCAGTGCAAACTGCTTCTGCAGGGTTTGTGCACTTGTACTTCATCCCAAACCCTCAACACCTTCCTCTTCCGAGTAAGCTCAAAAGCAGAGGGAATTATCCTCTTATCCACCGAGTAGCTGGCAGAGCAGCCAGGGAGGATTACCAAGAAGCCCCACACACATCCCTGCAAGGACACTCGTGCCTTGCAGGCTGGGTAATTCTTCACCTCAGCTGAATCACTGCAGGGAAAGGACAAGACTGCACACACAGCAAATGTGCCCTTTGCAAGGTGCTTGAAGCACTCCAAGAACAGCAAACACCACCTTCCTGGACAACAGGGGTTCTTCCAGAGCTCATGGAGCTCACACCTGGCAGTCTGCACCAGCTCCATTTCCCCCCATTGTACAGTGGAGTAGGACAGCTGAAAAGTAATTATGAAGCAACAACGAGCCTTATGGGTTTCCTATTAACTAAAGCAGATTAAAAGTTTTTAAAGACACATTTAATTACTCATTCAAAAATCTCAATTAGAACTGCACTGCACACAAATGGGACATGTTATCAGTATAGCTCTGCCCAGACATGACAGAAATGCCAGAACTCTAGAGCTGTACCACCATTTAGAGGCACCAAAATGCTACATCAGCCTTCAGCAGCAGCTCCACATTAATTTCCTTCATCCAAACTCATTCAGATCAAAACTGAGAAATCACTAAAGTTAAGGCAACTCAAGAAGATTTTCTCTTATTTTACAGATTACCAAAAAAAAAAAAAAAAAAGAAAAAAGGTAAGCAGAGCTTCACAGTTCTAAAAATAACAAGGAAGAGTAAAACCAGAAAGCCAGACAGGTCCATTCCTCAGCTGAAGAGACATCTTTTGTTTATTCAGTCTGTCTCAAACATGCACCTATTAATTTTACTCTAAGTCCACAAAAGTCAACTTGAACTCATTTGATTGACTCCGTATCTGTAAAACTGTAAATGCCTGACCTGCCTTGGTCTAAGGCATCTTGGTGCAAACAGTGAAGTCAGTAAACCAAACAAAGCCTCTTGCATATCTATATAACTGTGTGTTAACACAAAGAAGGACCAGAAGTCAGTCCTGTGGTCACACGTGACGGGGCACACATCCTGCCAAGCTCTGCCAACAGGATTTGAGGAGCGAACAGGAAAGAAAACGGATCAGAGGGAACACCCTGGAGCCCACTCTGTCTCTCCAGGGCACCTAAGATACACAGAACCACATTCCCCTACAGACCGACTCAAACTTTGACAGTATTGATTAAAAACTAAAACAAGTTTTTGTAAGAATTTCCCCTGGTGGTTCAAGAGTTCCAACTCTATCATGGTTTTCTGTTTCCTGGTTAAAGTGAAGGGCTTTTAAACTGCCCTAATCATAAGACAGGCTGATTCCCACCACAGTTGCTGTCGTTCTGCCCTCCCTCATTTTTCTTGGCAAGAAATTTCTTTCTTTTCCCCTTCTAAACCAACATTTTTTTTTTTTAGGCTGAAAAGCTACAAACACATTTCACACTGAAAAGCCAATCACAGAACAGCTACAACAGCATCTGAGCAGGGACCTCACTCTCACATCTGCACAAATTCTCCTGGAGAACTTCTGCCATTTCAATCTACCTGTCCGTGTCCCAGGAGCAATACATGACTAAAACACAGAAAAAACCAGAGACAGATGGAGCTGTTACACACACTGACAAGAAAATGCACCAGTTCCATGCACTGTCAGAATGTCACTGCACACAGGGGCAGCAGGACCAGGACAGTACCAGTAGATTGAGAAAGCAAGAACTATCTTGGTGTAAGAACACCACAACACATTTGGAGTAAGAAAACGCACCCAAGCACTGTCCCAAATTAGAACTCTCAAATAAGGAGGATTCAACCTGCACATAAGAGAAAAGGCAAATGACCCATTTTAGTCAAACTACGTGCACTCTCCAGGAACTGTCAGCGAGCCAGGTAAATGGCACAGGTGAAAAGCTCTGTATTGACCTGTGCCAGTCTAAGCTGTGACAGCTGCATCCCTCTCACCACCTTTCCATGCTCTGGAGCAAACATTTACACTCGGGCAACCACGTGGCGAACCACTTTGGAGAGCTGAGCAAGCTGAAAGCCAACCTACCAGAAACAGTCTTTTTTTAATTTTCTTTTTTTTTGTTCAAAATTAACTCTCTGTGCTGACTTACTGTTCAGCCACACGAGCAGAGGAAGGAGTGCCTAGGGCCACAGAAGCCCCAAAACAGCCTGGCTCAAGCTGCAGCGTGGATGAACTGCTAATACTGCAGACAAGAGTAATGCCAGTCTGTGGTGACAGCAACAGATCACACTGTTTAGACTCTGGTCACCATGGCATCCACCTCGGTACAGCGGGACGGGCTGAGGGGCTGTTTTGCAAGCCCAGCTCTCACATTTCCCTTTCTCTTTGTTGGAGTTCGTTTGACTAAAGAGAACGGGAACACCGGAATGGGGACAGCTCTGCACCTGCAGAGCACTGGAACGGCCTTTAGTCTTGTGACAGAACCCAGCACACGCCTATTTCCAGAGCGAGAGGGGAAGGCAACGCTGAGCCTTTGGAGCAAAGTATTGCTTTCCCTTTTCCAAACTCCACCAGAATTTGCCCCCGGCCCCTGCAGGGCTGGGGGACAGAGCCCTTTTTTCATAGGGAGCCTCTCGAACGCCTGCCACGACACAGTTATTTACACTGAGTTTCAGCACCATCACGTGACGAAAAACTGCGGCCTCGCGATTAAAAAATACCCTTCCAAGCGACGCTTCACCCTGCACAGAAACTCAGGCGCAGCCTGCGAGCCGCCCCTCGCTGCTCTCCGGGAAAAGCTCCTACCCGCAACGCGCAGAAGGCGCAGCCCGGGCAGGGTAACCCCGTAACCACCGCCAGCAGCTGCTGCAGCTGCAGAGCCGGGTCTGACGAGGGGGGTTCGGGCAGGGCCGACCCGCAGCAACAGGTGAGCGCGGGGCGGGCCGGGCCCCGGGGAGGCGCCTCCGCTGCTCGCCCGGCCCGGCCCCTCCGCGCCGGGCCCGTCCCTCCCGCCCCGGCCCCTCGCACCTTCCAGCCGGCGGAGCTGTTGCTGTCGCCCTTGTCCTTGAAGTAGGGCACGGAGCGCACCATCCACTCGTAGATCTGCGCCAGCGTGAGCCGCTTCTCGGGGGCGCTCTCGATGGCCTGGCTGATGAGCTCGGCGTAGGACTGGTTGCCCCAGGCGTTCCGCCGGGAGCCGCCCTTCCGCGCCGCCGCCGCCGCCGCCGCGCCGCCCGCCCGCGCCCCCTCGGCCCGCCCGGGCCCCGCCGCTGCGCCGCCCGCGCCCTCCTCCGCCGCGCCCGCCGCGCCGCCCGCCTCCGCCTCGGGCCGCGGCAGCGGCCGGGTGCAGGAGCGCGGGCGGCTCTGCGGTTCGAAGTCGGGGTCGATGTCCGGCGGCGCCGCAGCCCCGCCCGGCTCCGCCATGGGCGCCGCGCCGGGAGCGCCGGGCCCGCCGCCCCTTTGTGCGCCCCGGGCCCGCGGCCGCCGCGCCGCTCTGTTTACCAGCCAGCAGCGCCGCGCCGCGCGCCTGCGCTCGCGGGGCTCGCCGGGAGCCGTAGTCCCGCCGGGCCGGTGGCGGGCGGCGGCGGGCGGGGCGGCGGACCACAGTACCCAGCGTGCCCCGCGGCCGAGGGCGGGGCGCACCCCCAGCGGGTGCGCGTGACAGGCGGCGCGCTGGCGCGACTACAATTCCCAGCAGGCACCGCGGCGGCCGCGCTTACATAACCCGCGGGGCCGGGGCGGGCCCGGGGCCCCCGCGATGGACGTGTGAGGTCCCCGCGATGGCCGTGCGGGGCCCGGCGGGCCCGCGGCGCTCGCCGCTCCTCCACCCGCCTCAGAGCGCGCCGCAACACCGCGGGCTGGGCGGGGGGCACCGCTCCCTCCGCCGTCCCGTCACGGACCGGCCCCCGTTTCCGGGACACGCCCTGGCGCAATGCCTGACGGGTCCGCGTCCCGATCTGCCTGTCAGAACCACGGCAAAGTTTCCGGGCCCCGCGCCGAAGAGCGCCCGGGGCCGACTGCGCCCCTGACGCTGTATTGTTCAGTCCCTGTGGGCGTTCCTCGACCCCTCGCCCCGGTTCCCATCCCAGGCACGCAGCGCGGCCCCCTCGACCTCAGGCAGTGCCCCGGCCCGCGGGGCCCGGCGGGCGGCCCGGGCGGCGGGGCTGACGCCGGTAGCGCCCCTGCCATGCAGGTTCCGGGGCGCGCCCCGCGGGCTGAATACCCGCCGCGCTTATGCAGGCGGCGGCCGCGCGGCGGCGCTGGCAGGGCGGAGGCTGAGAGTGGCCCCGAACCCTGGATAGGCACCAGCTCATGCAGGCGGTAGGCGGGCGCCGCGCATCGGTGCGCGGGCAGGGCAGCGTCTGACAGGCCCCGGACTCTGGATAGGTGTGGGTTTATGCAGGCGGCGGGCGGGCGCGGCGCGGCGATGCGCGGGGCGGGGCGGGCTGCGGCAGCGGGCGGGCGGGCCGGGCCGGGCCGAGCCGGGCGGGGCGGCGGCGGCACCATCATGTCGGAGGCGGCGGTGGCGGACACCCGGCGCCTCAACGCCAAGCCGCAGGACCTCACGGACGCGTACGGGCCGCCCAGCAACTTCCTCGAGATCGACATCTTCAACCCGCAGACCGTGGGCATGGGCCGCGCCCGATACACCAGCTACGAGCTCCGCATGCGGGTGCGGCCCCCGCGCCGGGCCTGTGGGGCCGGGCCGCCCCGGCCCGGGGAGGGGCGGCGGCGCTCGGGGCGCGGGGACACGGGGCTGGGGGGGCCCGGGGTGGTGTCACTGCTTGGCAGCGCCGGGCTGGGGCGCTCCGGGGCTCAAGGTCAGCGCTGGGGGGTTCGCCGGGGCCAGTGCGCGCAGGGACGGGGAGGTGCTGCCTCAGCAGGGTCCTGCGCCCGGCCCCTCGCTACAGCCCCGCTGGGTGGCTGCTGAGCAGGGCATGGCTGCACAGAGCGGGTTATCTCAGGCAGGGGAGGAGAACTGGGTAGCAGTGTCTCGGGAGCCGCTTGCGCTGCAGGCGGGCTGCCCCTCCTGGGCTGCTTTTACCAAGGGCTCGTGAGCCAGGAGTGTGTGCAGCGAGCTGAGCACTCTCAGTGTTCCCTTCACTGAGCCTTAACCACGCTGAGCTGGGGACGCTTTCACAGCTCTGCGTCTGATAGCTGGAGAATATAACACTGAGCTTCCCTGGAACAAGCTCCCTTTGGCGTGTGATGTGGTGCTGGCTTAGGTTTCTGATCGCAGCATTATTTAGCTGCTGAGCCTCCCCTGCCTTTCAGAAGAATCGGTGTTTGGTTTTTTTTCTACTCTGGCGCTTGGCTCCCATCAGCCTGCAGGTGGCAACGGGAACCTCTTAGTCCACTGAAACCGGCGGAGGTGCCGCTGGATTTACCTCGCTGCCTTCTTAAGGACACAGTTAATCGTGTTGCAGTAATACCAGCGGTCATCCGAGCGCTGCCCATCAGAAGGTTTTGCTGCCTCAGTTCCTGGAATGTTTCAGGCTGTGTTGATGGGGGTAAAGGTGAAGCTGAAGGTTGAAGTTTAAAGGTGAAGCTGCCAGTTGTTGGGCTCCAGTGGCAAGGGGAGAAGGACGGGGTATTGCTTTGCATTTATGCAGTGACACGTGATGGATGTGAAAATGCCTGTTAGGGTAGGTGGTCTGTTCTGGGAGAAGATTGTTGCATGAGGTCTGGCCTTGAACAGTTGCTGGGAGAAGATTTCCTCCTTTAGCTCTTCTGTGGAGATGCCAGTGTAGGGTTGGATGTTCTTATGCTCTGCAGGCTGCTGTGAAGCCCTCTTGTGAATCACTTCAAAATGGACTGAACTCAGGGAAAAAAGTCATCCTTCTCTGTATTGTCAGCACTGGTTCCAGTGTGTGCCCCGGGGAAGGGGGGTGTTCCTGAAATAGTCACTTGAGGGGGAGGGCATGGCTGGCACCGAGTAGCCTGGCTTGCTTGGATCTGAAGGGTTTTGGTGTTCTCTGCCCTGAATAAGGAAGCTGAGTGTTCCTGTGATGCCTCATTCTCAGGGGACTTGGTTTTCTCATGTTGAAGTGCTCGTTGGCTTCCAGAGAGACCTGCAAATTAACTGCTCCGCTTCATTCCAGACAAACCTCCCGATCTTCAAATTGAAGGAGTCGTGTGTGAGGAGACGATACAGCGACTTTGAATGGCTGAAGAATGAGCTGGAGCGAGACAGTAAGGTGAGGCCTGGCTCAGACCTGCCTGTATCTGAAACCAGGACAGGAGGGAACAGTTCCAGCCATAATCTTGAGCTGCCCAGAAGAGAGGCTGTGGTGGTGGGCGCTTTTTGTGGCTCTGTCCACGTAATGGGGCTGGAGATGAGCATCAAACAGCAAAGGATATCTGATTGCAGGTGGCTGTTCTGCTGACAGGGTGCTTCTGTGCTTTTAGATTGTAGTGCCACCGCTGCCTGGAAAAGCTTTGAAACGACAGCTCCCCTTCCGAGGAGATGAGGGCATCTTTGAGGAGTCTTTCATCGAGGAGCGGAGACAGGGACTAGAACAGTTTATTAACAAGTAAGGTTGATGTCCTGGGTTTGCTGTGGGCTGCCTCTGGCTGCTGCTGGTGGAAGTGGGCTGTGGGCTCACCATGTGGGAGTCTTGATCTGCTGCTGGCAGGTGCCAGTGCTGAAGGGTGGTGCCTGCAGCTGGGTAACGAAACTGTGGTACTGGAACAAGCCCTGCCTTGAGTGTGGGTTGTGTTTCACGCTCTCTCCTGAGAGTGCAGTGAGCATTAGCAGAACAGCTGTGCTGCAGAGGGCCACCAGCACCGTAGTGTTGGATCAGGGCATGGCATGGGAGGGAACACCCTGTGCTCAGGCACCTCTTACTGGTCCTGTTGTACCAGCAAGTGACCTCGGGCTGAGCGCGGTGCGGGTGTGCTGAGCCGGCTGCCTGACTCCCTCCTGCAGGGAACGGAGGTGTGGGGTCTTGGTGGCAGCTGTGCTAACCTCCACATCTGATTTTCTTCCAGAATTGCTGGACACCCACTGGCACAGAACGAGCGCTGCTTACATATGTTCCTGCAAGAGGAGACTATTGATAGGAATTACGTCCCAGGGAAAGTGCGCCAGTAGGAGCACCTGGCACTGTCTTCCTCCATTCCACCCTCCCTCCTGCAAAAATGACATTTATTTTTACACTAAATCTGTCTTCTCTGAACCAGCTTTTCCTCTCTTGAACCTCCCAGTTTGTTCAGTATTTTCCTCTTTTGTAACTGGCAGCAGTTTGTTCTACTGGGCTGTGGTCTTGGCCTAAAGGTGTGAAGATTTATGCAAGTGAGCGTGTTGTCCCGTGTCTAGGGATAGGTGTGGAGCAGAACTTGCTTATGGTGTTCTGGTGTAGGAGCTGCCTCTCTCCCTGTACAGGAAGGTATGAGATGACCTTCACTCCCTTGTCTGTGCAGCCCCAAGCATCTCTGCAGGAGACTTTGAAGAATAGCAGTTGTCATGTTGGTCAGTGATCGCATCAGGTATTAGCGTTTTAGTAAGGTTTATCCAAACCAGTGAGTAGGTGCCTGGGTGTGTCGGTCTCTCATCCAACCCCATTCACCCTGCATGAAACCCCCATTCTTCACTGTCTGGAAGTGCTGAGACCCAACACCTACTCGAACCCCGCACTCAGCCTCCTGCGTTACAGACCTGTTTGGTGTATTTGTGCCCCCTCCTTTCTAACGTGCTGCTGGCAGCTCGAGGGGTTTCCATGCCGTGTGCTCTCATGATGCTCCGTGTGGGCCGTTTGGCACGTGGAAGATGGGATAGTCTGGGCTGTAGCCGTGTGTGCTGTGAGGCCTTGGCCCAGGGTTTCAGAAATGTCACAGTCTGCGGTGCCATGGGCTGCTGTGCTGGTGTTCCCTGCAGCACCTGCTGGGCTGAGCCTGGTGCCCTTATCCTGCACCCCAGCTGCAGGGAGGAGCAGGCGGGTCTGGCTGAGGAGGAGCAAGAGAAGGCTGGTGGGAGCAGTTGTAGGGTGCATCCGTGAACGGCTGCCACAGGAAGAGCCCAGCAGTGGGGCCTGGGGTGAGGCCACCTCTCCAGAAAATGATGGCAGAAAAGTGGTCAGCCAGTCCCAGGTTAGACATCTGCTTACAAAGCAGAAGTAACAGTGGCTCCTGTTGTGTTCTCCTGTTCTGCGGTGAGCTAGGCAGTCACTTGTGTGGAAGCAAGAACACACGACTGATCAGGGAAGCGTTCAGAGCTTGAGGGGACCACAAGGCTGTGACTTGCTGCAGCATAACTGTCCTTTGGAGGCTCCCCCAGCTGCCACAACTGTGATGAGTGAGGTTGAGCCTCAGCTTGGGGCTTCCTCGGGTCAAGGCTGGCTGGTTTATAAGCGCTTGGTCACTTTGTGGTGACACAGTTGAGCCTTTCTTGGAGCACAGACCTGCAGTGGCTGCCCTCCCGTTCCTGCCAGGCACATTCCCTGAGGCCTTCCCAATGTCTCCTTCGTTTTCTGGTGAGGAACCGGTGCTGTTGAGCAAGAGGTGGCTCTTGGGAAGAAGTCGTGGAAAGCATCAGGGAGCTGCTCCCGAAAGGGCCATGGGGCAGCTGGAGCCGGTGCCGGTGGAGGCGGCCGTGCCCGCGGAGGGGCTCGCTCCCCGCCTTCCTGATGCTGCTGGTCGCGCTCGGGGCGGCCCCTTCCCCTGCCCTGCGCGGGGCTGCCATCCGCCCAGCTGTCTGCACCCTGTCCAGTGTAACGTCCCGGTGCCGTTCGCATTAAACCACTGTGAAGCCAAGTCTCTGCCTGGTCCTGGGGGCTGGCGGGGTGGGGGAACCACCGGGGCAGAGCGGGCATTGGTGTGGCATGGGAATCGCTGGGGTGGGGTGGGCACTGGTGGGGCTGGAGAACCACCAGAACAGAGCTTGCTATGTGGGTCTGGCTGTCCTGAGGGCTGCAGGACATCCACAATCCAGGTGACACCCCTTACGTTCCTCCCTGGAGCCCAGAGCCTGCAGCTCCATGGGGATGGGGCTGGCTTCTTGTTTAGGAGGTAGAGCAGGATCTCAGCTGCTGCCCTGCAGGGTCTGAGGTGTTCAGGGTGGGCTAAGCACAGCCCTTCTTGCCTCCTGCCTGCAGCTGACAAGACTGCCCAGTGTGAAGCCTATCACCAGACAATCTGCGTTCCTGGCAGGCCCGGAGTGGCACGGGCAGCCCCCGCTCCCTCCTGGGGCAGCTGCCCTGGGCTGTGCACAGGGGTGGCTGCCCAGGGAAGCTCTGTCAGCTGTGTCCCACCCCTGCTGGGCACTCGGTGGTTGGGGCAGCTCCAGCGGCAGCACGATCCGCAGGAGAGCGCCCTGCCCCGGTGTACGGGGGTTCCCTGTACGTGCACGGCCAACACAACTTCTTGGTGCGGGTACTGCGGGCGATGAATAGATAAGGTGCCCTGCCAGACTGCTCACGAGTAAACAGAAGGACTGTGAAGCTGAGCGTCTGCCCGGTCCTGTGTGCTGGCGGGGCGGGGGAGCCGGCGGGTCGGGACGGGGCGGGCGCAGGGCGGAGGCGGGCGGTGATTCCCCGCTCTCCGCGGCCGTGCCCGGGCGCGATGTGGCGGCCGGACCCGCGGGCGGGCTCGGGGGCCGGCCCCGGCTCGCCGGGCTGCCCGGACCTGCTGCAGCACGCCCGGGCGCTGCACTCGGAGGAGTCCCCGCTCTACCTCAGCTTCTTCGAGGATGAGTGCCGCCTCATCGCCGACCGCCTGCGCCTGGCCGCGGCCGCCGAGCCCGCCGCGCCCGTCACCTCCACGCCGCTGCCCACTCCGGACTCGGGCACAAGCACCTGCGAGGCCGCTGCCGCCCCGGGCCCGGCCCGAGCGGAGCCCGTGTGCCTCCCGCAGCCCGCGGCCGGCGCTGGCCCCGGGGCCCGCCCGCTCGCCCGTGCTCGGCGCGGTGCCCCGCAGGCCTCGGGGGGCCGCCCCGGCCCCACCGCCCGCTCCCCGGGCCGCGGCCGCGCCAGGCTCGCTCCGGCCCGCACACGGGCCTCGCAGGGGCCGCAGCTCCCCTCGGCCGACACGGCGGGCTCGGCCCGCCCAAAGCGGCTCCTCCAGCCCGCAGGTAAGCGGGGTCGCTGCGGAGAGCCCCGGCACGGCCGCTGCCTGCCCGGCGCTGCTGTACCCTCCCTCTCTCCCCCAGGTACCAGGCTGAAGGGGATGCCGCCTGCCAGGTCCAGGGCTCAGCATCCCGGCGGGACTTTGCAGCAGGCACCACCTTCCGCCCTTCCCAAACCCGCTCCCCGGGACACACAGATGAAAAGTAATTCTGCGCCTGCCAGATGGCCTCAAGCAAAGTGGGGAAGTGTGTGGGGGGCTGATGCTGCGGCTGGAAGGGAAAAGGGGGTTAGCCTGGGCTGCAGCGTGGCCAAGGACAGAGCAGGGGGAGCGGGGAGTCATTGGGAGCAGTGCAGGCAGGAGCCTAGGAAACTTGCTCTGCCCCAAGTGATGTTAACACTGCCCTTCTGCCAGTGTGGGCTCCAATGTGGGCTAGCAGCCCTTTGGCTTTGGAGCCCTCACCCCATGGTCTTGCAGCAGTGGTGCCCATGGGCCTAGGACAGCTGAGCCCCAGGGGTGCGGTGTAGCTGCTTCGGAGCAGCAGCCTCTGTGCCTAAATGTTTGTTCGCTGTAGCTGCTGCCAAGGCTGGGGGTCCCAAACAGCCCTCTTCAAGACTCTCGACAGCAATTCCTATCGTGGCTTCCCGCTCCTCACTGCAGCCTCTGGAAAGAGCGGCTCCATCCAAGCGCTTTTGCGTCACTAAGGGTGAGTCTTGGCAGAAACCTCAGAGGTAGCGGAGTCGTGGCGGGGGGGGAGCTGCTGCCGTGGGAAGAACATTCAGATCTCGGCTACAGGGTCAAGGCTGTTTCTGGGGAAAGGACTGGAGGGGATTGTGTGTACCTGGGCTCAGAGGAGGGGAGGTGAAATGTGGCTAGGTGAAGGCTAGGTGAAGTCCGTTTCCCTGGAGAGGCACCCAGCAAAGAGAATGAGCAAATCTGGTGCTTGAGCTCATCCACAGGACAGGGAGCAGCCCTGGTCAGTCAGGGCACTGTCTGAGTAGGGGGTGATGCTCTTTGCTTTTATTTCCTGGGTCTCACTTCAGGATCAGCTACACAGGAGCTGATGTGCAATAGGACCCAAGAGCTGAAGGAAAGTGGTGAGAGCAAAGAACGGCTGGTTGCAGAAGGGACTGTCTTGGGAACAGGTGAGCAGTATGGAGGTGTGGTCCCACACAGGGGTGGGGAGCTGCAGTTTGCTCCCCTGTAGACAGGAGCCCCTCCAGAGCTTTCATGGCTCCCGACTGCCAAAGGCCTGTTGAAAACCAAGCACCCTGTGAGTGTATCATGGTGAGGAGAGTCTGCATTCGGCCTCTGGTGGATTCTTGCCTTGTGTTGGGGTAAGTGTGGGGAAATATGGGCATCTGCTTGTTGGGCATTGCCGCTCCCCAGTGGGGTCCTAGCTGACCAGGCTGAGGGTACTGCAGGTGGAGTGTGCTGCCTTCCCAGGAACTGCAGCTGGGGCAGCCTGCAGAGGGAGAGGAAGTGAGAAGGGTGTTCCCACTCTGCTAGGACAGCCCTGCCCTGCCTGGGGCAGCTGCCTGCTCTCCCTGTGCAGGCAGACTCCTAGCAGGAGACTCCTTGCTGTTGGGAGTGAGGCCATGCAGGAGCACCTTCTCCCAGCAGCATCCCCACAGCCAGCCCAGCAGTAGCTGTTGGGCTGAAGGTGCTGGGAGACCTCTGGCTCTCTTGGTCTGGAGCAGTTCTGTGGCCTGCTTGAAGAGGAGCTGAGAATGGCAGGTTTCTAGTGCTGACACCTCTCTTCACAGGTAAGGCTGACCAGACATGGGAGTACGTGGAGTCCTCTTTGTCCAGCAGGTCAGCCCCTGGCCTGCTTTCAGGGTGTGAAGATGCAGTCCCTGCTGAGCAGGTAAGAGCCAGCCATGTCCTGGCAGCACAGAGCACTGTTCAGCACTGTGGATGGGGCCAGCTATGCCAGAGGTGGAAGATGATGGGACCTGGGGCTGCCAATTTCCTGGATGGCACCTGAGCTGATTTAGCCTTTCCCTAGGGTTTACACAAGACCACGTGCATTTACTGCATGGCTTTACCACCTCTCCAGCACTCAGGGGATTGCAGGCTTCTTTCCAGTTAGATTTTTAAGGGCCTTTTGAAACATGCAAACCTCCTGTGGCTTCTGTTGTCGCTTTTATACCTCCTAACATGTTGGACATGTACCCAGGATGGAGTGAGCAGAGCTTGCAGCAAGGTGAAGCTCCTAAGCTGTGAATTCTCCTACCTAAAAAATATGTTTGTGCATTTGCCAGCAGTTTTAGGGCTCTTCACTCTGTGGCTGTGACCTGCCAAAGGCATTCTTGTTACACACAGGTGCTGGCAGGTGCTCACTGCTAAGTGAACCGTGGCTCCTTCGCCAGGCACTGCTGCTGTGGTGGACACCCCCTGGAAAGGGATCCCCAGGGTGCTGGGCTTGGGATGTTGGATGGGCTGCACTGCTCCTCCAGAGGATGGGCTGTGCTGTGGCTGAGCTACTGGTTGCTGCGTGGGGCTGACCACTCCCTGCATCACACTTACCCCCTGCCCTTGCCAGCCTGCAGGTGATCAGCTGTCCCAGGAGCTGGAGCGTGTGAAAAAAGAGCTGGAGCAAGTGAAGGGGGAGCTTGGTATGTGGGTCTGGCTGTCCTAAGGGCTGCAGGACACCTGCAATGCAGGTGACACCCCCTGTGCTCCTCCCTGGAGCCCAGGGCCTGCAGCTCCATGGGGATGGGGCTGGCTTCTTGTTTAGGGAGTAGAGCAGGATCTCAGCTGCTGCCCTGCAGGGTCTGGGGTGTTCAGGGTGGACTGAGCACAGCCCTTCTTGCCTCCTGCCTGCAGCTGACAAGACTGCCCAGTGTGAAGCCTATCACCAGACAATCTGCTCCTTGCAGGCTCAGCTCAGAGCAGCAGGTATGTGCCCTCCCTGCAGTGAGCCCTCACCTCTGGGCAGGCTGCAGGGATGCTCCGGTGATCCCTTGCCGCTGTAACCGAGGGCTGCCAGGTGGAAGGGACACAGCTCGTGGCCTTTCCCGTGGGTCAGGTGCTGAGTGCCAGGAGCACTAGTGGTTGGATGCTGCTGTTGCTTCCCAGGAGTCTGTGTGGAAGATGCAGCAGTGTTCAAGGGTGGTGACTTGGGGAGAGACTGACAGCTGGCACATGAGCACATGTCTGTCTGCCTGAGCCTCTGGGCCAGCGATACATGTGGAACAACAACAACTGTTGAATGAGTGAATTATTTAATTCCTTGTATTTAAAATAAAGGTGTGTTTTCCAGTGGTGCTTGCTGTCTGCTGGGGTAGGGGCAGTGCCCAGTGCTGCCCACTGTCCCCCAAATGCTGGGCAGACAGGGCAGGTCTGTGCTCAGCTGTGGCTCAGCCAGAGACTTGAGGTGTGCTGCAAGGAGGAGCTGGGTGCTGGTGGATGGAGGCACAGCAGGGCTCTAGGGAAGCCTTTCTGGACAAACCTGGTGCTTCCAGGTGGGATGTTTGGGTGTGTGATGGGGGCAGGCAGCCGTAAGGGCAGGTTTCTTCCTTTGACCACCTTCATGCTGGATGTGAGAAGAGCCAGTGCTGGCTGATGCAGCCACGGACTGTTATTTACTGGTTTATTATCAGTGCCTGGGGGCAGGTGTTGGGGAAGCAGCGCTTGGGACTCGGTGTCTCCCTGCAGTGGAAGCCCTGCCCTGCTGCCTTCTCTGTGTGGTGGGCTGATGCAGGCACTTTGTTGCACTGCCTGAGAGAGGCCTGGAGAGTCCCGTTGTCTGGTGCTGGCAGTGCCCCGAGGTTGGGCTGGGAAGGCTGACCTGCTCCTGTTCCCCTGTTGCCTCTGGTTGGCGTTCCTGGCAGGCCCAGAGTGGCACAGGCAGCCCCCACTCCCTCCTGGGGCAGCTGCCCTGGGCTGTGCACAGGGGTGGCTGCCCAGGGAAGCTCTGTCAGCTGTGTCCCACCCCTGCTGGGCACTCGGTGGTTGGGGCAGCTCCAGTGGCAGCACGATCCGCAGGAGAGCGCTCTGCCCCGGTGCACGGGGGGTTCCCTGTACGTGCACGGCCAACACAACTTCTTGGAGGGAGCTGACTAGAAGATGTGCCCTGCTAGATTTATTGTTTGTAAAGAGAGAGGCGCTCATTGGCAAAGCTGGACTTGATACCCTGTGCTTCAGTTGTGGAAGATAATGAGGGTATCCAAGGGCTGATTTGGATCTGCTTCTGCAGGGCTTTTGGCCCCCTTTCTGGGCTAGAGCCATCTCTTACCCTCCTTTATGCTGGCTACATGTGCCCTGCCACTGTTTGCCTTCCTGCTTCTCCTGTTGGGACATGCCCTTGGGTTGCTCCATGCCTCTGCCTGCTCCCAGACATTGGACTGTGCTGCTGGCTCAGGGCCCTGAATGACACGGGTGGAGAACAGTAAGACTGGGAAGTGAGGATGGGGTACTGGGAAGACAGATGTGGAGCTGCCTGTGAGGTCTGGGAACTGAAGACATGGTCACTCCTCAATGCTGCTCCGTCTTTGAAACTATCTCCCAACCCGTGCTATTGCAACAGGGTTTCTAGGAACAGGATGATTTTGGTGTCATCCACCCCCTCACTGCTCTGGGACTCCACCCAGTGTCTGTCTGTCTGTCTGTGCCGCCCCTTGGAGTCCTGATGTGCCCGTGGTGCTGCCAGCCCTGCCCGAGAGCACCCTCGGTGATGGTGCTGCCCAGCTGGGTCCTCGCCTGCAGGAAAGAGCGAGAAACATCCGGACTCTTAACAGCCCAGGGAAAGGGAATTCTGCAACTTGATCTTAAGCTCACTTAATTCCCAGTGGGGGTCATGGGGCCGGAAAGGGAAGGGGCCTTGATGACTCGTGGGTGTACACGGCTGGGAAGCGGGGGCACGCCCTGTCTGGCAGTGACGTTCACAGGATGCGTTGATGTTTCGTCGCCGTGAGGTCGTCGCAGCTGCTGCGGTGGTATTTCCGTCATCCTAAGGTCGATTTCCGAGGAGAGAAGGGGCTGGACCTGTTGCCTCGACAGCGGCGCCAGACCAGAGCCTTGCCTATATATATGCCAGGGAGGCGCTGGTTCACCCTCCCGGCATCGCTGCCAGTTTGAATGGGCGCTCACGACATGCGAGCGCTGGATTGCATCAGGTCGGCGGGTACCGGCCTGCGTGATGCCGAGGATGATGCCGGCCCGGCAGCCGAGCCGTTCTCCCTAGAGCGTTTCCCATCTCTTAGGGCTGCCTGTTGCTCCCAGAGTAGCGGAGCGCTGTCCGGGACCGCTCCCTGCGGAGCATACGGGGGTCGCAGCACAGTCCTTCTCCATGCCTTAGGCTGAGCTCCGGAGCGGGGCCGGCCTCGCCTCCTCGCCTCGCTCCCAGCCCCGACAGGGCAAGGCCGGGGCAGGCTCTGCCCTCATGGCACAGCTGGCCCCGGGGGACCCTCAGCCCCCCCTGCGTGGCCATCCCGAGGGAACGCGGCTGACGGCACCACCGCACGCTGCCTTGCCCTGGTCTCGGACCTGCCGCCCGCGGCAGCCGCACTCCCGGCGGCCGAGCGGAGCCGTGCCTGGCCCTCGCCCCGGTGCGACTTATTATTTGAATTTCTATTTTTTAAAAACTCTGACGATGGGGTTGGCCGGGTGCGGGGAACCGGGCACCCGCGGCGCTGGGAGGGCTTCTGGGCATCGGGCGCGCATCTGTTCCCGCTGGCCCTGCGGTGTCTCTGCGAGCTATGGGGGCGGCTGCCAGGCGTGCCTTTTCTGCCTCGTTTGGGTGCCACCTTAAGGGCGGAGTCGGCCCGCCGTTAATTTCGGCGGTTCCGGGAGCGGCATTCCCAGAACAAGCGGAGCCAAGATAAGCTAAACTAAGCTGAGCTGAGCTGAGCTGGACGGGATCGCACCGGAGCGAGCTGAACAGCACCGAGCCGAGCCGAGCCGAGCCGTGCCGCCGGTGAGTGTCTGCGGGCGCTGCCGCCGCGCCGGGAGGGGCCGTGGCGCAACCAGTGCCGCGCTTGCATCAGCTGCCGCCCGCACGTGGCGGGTCGCGCCGCCGCGCCCCGTTCGGGCTCCGCCATCCCCGGGGCTGTGCCGGGCACCCCGGCGGCACCGAGCCTGACTGGCACTCCTCGGGACCGGAGATGCCCCCGCGGGGGCTGGAGGAATGGTCCCGAGCGGGGGCTGGCGGCCCCCGGCACTTGCCCCGAGTGGCAGCGGGATGCGGTGGGCACTGGGATGCAGCGGGGGGCTCCTGTTGTCGCCCAGCGCGTTGCTTCTCCGCTCCTCTGCCCGCTCGTAGCTCGCTGGGCGCTCGGATGACAACGTGGTTTTTAGCGAGACCCTCCGGCCGTGGGTCGCGCCTCCCCCGGTGCTCGCCGAGCGCTGTCCCTCGGCCGGCTCTGACAGGGGCTGGTGCTCCTCCGGATGCTCAGCGCGTTCCCGACATTGGGTACGGCGGGACAAGGGAGGCTGCCTCCCATCTTCCTGCTCGGTGCCACTCGCGCACTCGCGCCTTTTTCCTCGGCCCTGCTTTCGCAATAAGGGCGGAGCACGGTTCTGCTGCCATCCCGTTGCTTGCAACTCCGCAGCTCATCGGGTGTCAGAAATCCTTGGAACAATCGAGCAGCCCTGGGGAAGGCAGCCAGAGCTCTCCAGGTAGGGCTGGGGAGGGTGCCAATGGCGGGGCACTTGTTCCCTTGAAACCAAGCCCAGAGGCTAAGTGTGCTGGGGCAGTTCCTTGGGCCAAGGCTGAACGTGACACGTGCCAACTCGGGAGGAGGTTTCTCTAGAAATAGGCACGTTTGCTGGTTATGAGGAAGCAGCCATTGTTGGCTGCTACTGGTGGCTACCCCTGTGACCCTAGCTGATAATCCCCATCTATGGAAAAGGGTCACAAAGTTATCCTCTTGTTACACTGATCCCTACAGCACAGCATTGGTGCTGTCCTGGGCATCTGGCTGGGCTGTGTTTCCTTTCCCAATGAAGGGAGAAGACAGTGGTGGGTGGATGGTTTAGTGATGGGCACAGGTGCCAGACATGGCTGTGGGCATTGGGAGTCACTTTCCTTGCGGCTCCTCTCGCTGTGTGCTGGATGCCTGCTTCACAAGGTGCTCATCTTTAGAGCTTTTCAGGGATGGGTGGCTCCTATGAGCCAGAGGATGCTGTTGCTCGTATGTTCAAGGTGATTATAGCCTGCAGAGCTTGCAGACAGCTTGGCAAGCACTGTTAGCAGGCAAGGGATTTGTGCTGGGGGCCTGTGCTGTGTCTGGTTATACATCCCTGTCAAGGGTGTGGTGCAGATGCTGAAAGGAATGGCTGCATCCCAGTGAGTCAGCCCAGCCTGCCAAATCCTCTGCTGGAGGAATGCTTTGTCTCCCCACCGTTGCTGATGTGCACACCCACGTGCCAGGCTGGAGGGATGCACCCGCAGTCAAGTTTGGGCTAAAGGATCTACAGGCTGCCAAATCAGTGTGGAGTTGCTGGAAAACAGTGAGCAAGCTCTGGGACGTGCCCAGGGGCGCTGTGGTTGGGACCACACAGTGCTCAAGCAATGAGCCTGTTTCCCACCATGGACTCATTGGGTTCATCCCTGGCTCACTGTTCTGGTGCAGGAGCATTGCAGGTGGGGCATGTGCAGCCCCACAGTGCCTTGGAGGGAGCCACCAGAGTCTCTGCCCTACAGCATGGCAGGGGCTTGGTGCTAACAGGCCAGCTGGGAACAGGCTCCTCTGGGCATCGCTACCTGCCCTGCTCCCCGCAGCGTTGGTCTTGCTGCCTGAGGGACACTGAGCTTCACACTCCTATGGTCCCTTCTCTTGCAGGGCTTCTGAGCAGCTGAGCACCACTCAGGAGAGGACAAGATGTTCAGGGAAAAAATGACCAGTATTGGGAAGATGCTGATCCGCCGGCGCGTGGTGGATCTGAGCTCCGACGACACGCGTTTTGCTCGCTGCCTCTCCACACTGGACCTCATAGCCCTGGGGGTGGGCAGCACGCTGGGGGCCGGCGTGTACGTGCTGGCCGGGGAGGTAGCCAAGGAGATGGCCGGTCCCTCCATAGTTCTCTGCTTCCTGGTGGCTGCTTTCTCATCCGTACTGGCTGGACTCTGCTACGCAGAGTTTGGGGCCCGCGTCCCCAAGGCCGGCTCTGCCTACCTCTACAGCTACGTCACCGTCGGCGAGATCTGGGCTTTTACAACTGGCTGGAACCTCATTCTCTCCTATGTGATAGGTACGAGGCCAGGCAGTGTGCTGGCACATGTGCCCGGGCTCTTCCCAGCACCGTGCTGTCAGCACGAGGGGGTTTCTGGGGGCAGCATGTGGTGCTGTGGGGTGGAATCAGCAGGGAAATGGGTGCTGAGGTGGGGGTGATGCCACTCTGCCCTGGGCTCAAACTGATGCCTGGATTTGCCATTGACAAGGTACGGCCAGTGTGGCTCGAGCTTGGAGCGCGGCATTTGACAACATCGTCGGCAACCACATTTCCACCTTCTTTGCCAACAAGACCGCGCTGCACCTGCCTGGGGTGCTGGCCGAGCGCCCGGACTTCTTTGCACTAATCCTGATTGCCCTGCTGACTGGTGAGTACATAGGAGCAGCTCCATGGCACCGTGGGTGGTGGCGTGGGAGGCCCAGTGGGTTCCCACTCACCTCTTCTGTCCCCACAGCACTGCTGGCCTTTGGTGTCAGCGAATCTGCCCTCGTCAACAAAATCTTCACGGCGGTGAACCTGTTGGTGCTGAGCTTCGTCATCATTGCTGGCTTCGTCAAGGGGAACATCAGGAACTGGCAGCTCTCAAAGGAGGACTATGCCAACCTCACACACCCGGACCTAAGTGATGATATGTAAGGAGAGCAACTGTGCCAGGCCAGGGTCTGGCCCAGGGCAGGCATAGGCCCCACTGTCCATGGACCCCATGGCAGCTGCTCTCCTCCTTGCTTTCCAGGAAAACAGCCTTTGGCTCTGGCGGGTTTGTCCCCTTTGGACTAGAAGGGATCCTGACCGGCGCCGCCACCTGCTTCTATGCCTTTGTGGGCTTTGACTGCATTGCCACTACAGGTACTGCTTGGGTGAGGGTGGTGTGGGCATTTCCCCTGCACAACCAGCAGCTGTCTGGGATCTGCTGGGGAGGATGCTCCATGGCGTGAGAAACAGCTGGTCCCACCACCCCTGGGAGGTTTCCCTGCAGAGTCTCTGTCTCCAGCTGGGCCAGGCGAAAGGGCTCACAGCCTGCCCTGCCGCAGGAGAAGGGGTTCATTACACCACGTGGTGGGAGCAGGGCTGCACCCTGCCTGTGCAGGCAGCTCCCGGAGCAGCAGGGAGCCTTTTGACTGCTGAGCCGAGGCTGTGACAGTCCTGGGAATTGCGAGTGCCTCCTAGTTATTTCCCAGCCTCAAGCAACCTTTTTCTAAATGGCTGGGTTCGTGCAGAACCGCTGCTTCCTGGAACACAGGGAGCCCTCTTAATTTCCTCTCATTCCTCCAGAAATCTACTTAGTGGGTGGCTGGTACAGGCTGTTCTGCCTGACCTGCCTGTGCCTCCCTGCCCCCAGGGGCTGCCCAGCAGCCGCCTCCTTTCCTCCTACGCTGCTGCCGAGCCCCTTGCTGGGAGCGTGGCACAGCACATCTTGGCAAAGCCGAGGTGCATGGAGAACCTCTGTTCAGCAGGCTCTGCAGGGAGAGGGAAGGGTGGGGGTAAAGAGCTGGCATGGCCAGGGGGGCTTGCCAGGCAGCTGCATCCCTGGAATGATGAGAGCTGCAGCCACACACCTGTGCTCTCAGCAGTTCCAAAGCTTCTACCAGCACAGCATTATGGCTGGAGACCCCTCCTCCAACAGCCCCTGCCTGCTGCTGCCCAGTCCCATGCTGCCATCCCCTGGGGCTAGCTGCCCCATGCTGTGCCATGGAGTGGGGTCACATGCTGCCTCTTCTCTCTGTACAGGGGAGGAAGCCAGGAACCCACAGCGCTCGATCCCCATCGGCATCATCGTGTCCCTCTTCATCTGCTTTGTGGCTTATTTCGGGGTCTCTGCATCCCTGACTCTCATGGTGCCCTATTTCCTCGTGAACAAGGACAGCCCTCTGCCCGAGGCCTTCAAGGCGGTTGGTTGGGAGCCCGCCCGCTACGCCGTTGCCGTCGGCTCACTCTGTGCCCTCTCCACCAGGTAGGACCAGCCCCGTCCCTGGCACTGCCTGGCCCAGCGCAGGGACTGGCAGCATGCATCCAGGCTGGGCTGGGGATTTGCTCTGCCCAGCTTCTGTCCTGCTCCTGGCACACATCCCTGTGTGGGTGATGGGTGTGGGCAGCGTGCCTGGCAGGCCCTGAGCCATCTCTCCCCACGGCAGCTTGCTGGGCTCCATGTTTCCCATGCCCCGAGTGGTCCATGCCATGGCGGAGGACGGGCTGCTCTTCAAGCGCCTCTCCAACATCAACGATCGCACAAAGACCCCTCTGTTGGCCACCATCGCCTCGGGGCTCCTCTCGGGTAAGGCTCCTGGCCACTGCCTCACGCTCATGCCCACAGTGGTCTGGAGCTGTGCTCATGCTGCGTGTCCTCATTGCAGCGGTGTTGGCCTTCCTGCTCGAGCTGAAGGACCTGGTGGACCTCATGTCGATCGGCACGTTGCTGGCCTACTCCCTGGTGGCGGTGTGCGTGCTCATCCTCCGGTGCGTGACTCCTCGTGCGTGGCGGTGCCCAGGGTGGATGTTCCCAGGGGGGCTTTTAGGACAGCTTTGTCCTGGGGGCATGCAGCCTGGGGAAGTGTCCAGCCCCCAAGGTGGAGGCTGCTCACAAGAGCCTGTGAGCTGTCTCTGGGCACATTCTTGAAGTGGTTGTTCTGAGGCCACTGCTGGAGCAGCAGGAATATGAGGGTGCTGCCCACTGTCCCCCTGGGCTACAAAGTTCCTTGGGCTCTGCTGCAAGCTTGTCCTACCTGCTCAGGTACCAGCCTGGGCAGCTGAACTCCCCGAAGGCCATGGAGATGCTGGAGCTGAATGGGAACGAGGAGGAGAGGGTGATCATGAATCCGAGCGTCACTGCTGCCAGCGCCCAGCAGAAAGAGACCCTGTCCTGTTCCACGCTGTTTAACCCACCTTCAGACACCCCCACCGCGCTCTCGGGGCGCATCATCTACGTCTGTGTCTCGGTCATTGGTGAGTGAGTGGGAGCTGGTGGCTGATGTCCCCTCCTGCCAGGGGATGGAGTGTTTTTGGCGCGTCTCTGCAGAGCTGGGAAGGGATGGAGAGGGGCCAGGCGGAGGAGAAGGTGCCAGGAGGCTCAGGCTGCCAGCTGCTGTTGGCAGTGCCAGCGGGTGCTGAACCCACCCTGCCCTGAGCAGGGTGCCAAGTGCAGGGTACAGCTGTGGTTGTTGGAGGACATGGGTGCTAAGCCAAGCGTGTGTGGGTGGTCACGGGAGATCCCTGTGATGAGCCTGGCCCATGCTGGCCACCAGTGAGGGTGGTCCCCAACCCCTTGAGAGTGCTTTGGCTTGTCCCTCAATGGTTCCATTGTGCAGCCAGAATGGGGTGGCTCAGCCAGGTCTGAGTGTCAGAGCTGGGTCTGAGCCCAGCCTAGTGCAGGTTCCCTGCAGCTTGCTGGGCTGGCAAGCACCTCCAGCAAAGTGCTTTCCTGAGGCTTTGGAGTGGGTGTTGGAGACAGCAGGTGCTGGCCCCTTACCTGACCGAGAGGAATGGGTGCCTCAGCCCAGCTGCTGGTGAGGCTCAGGGTCTATGGGGGGCCATGCAACCCCCTGACTCCCCCCTCTCTTGCAGCCGCGGTGGTCACAGGCCTCTGTGTGTTCCTGACCTTCAGTGTGGCTGCTCTGAAGGACGCCAGTGTGGGCTGCATCGTGGTCCTGGTGCTGCTCCTCGTGGCGTTGCTCATTCCCACCATCATCATTTGGAGGCAACCGCAGAGCAACGCGCGGTTAAACTTCAAAGTGAGTTTAGCCCCCTGCAGGTGGCATCTGCACCCCCATGGACTCCAGCAGGATCTGGGTGTTGCAGGGTTTGCTGCCAGGCAATTACCAGGAAGGCCCAGAGCCCTCAGACCTCTCTGAGATGCAGTCCCCAGCATGGAAGTGCCTGGGTGCTCTCTGGGTGTGGCGGGGATGGGGTCCCTCTGTGGCCAGCAGCATCCTCAAACCCGGCTTGGTCCCTCAAGGCACAGCTGACACAGCCCTTCCTGTCCCCTGCAGGTACCTTTCCTCCCATTCCTGCCGATCTTCAGCATCTTTGTTAACATCCTGCTGATGGTACAGCTGAGTCCTGGCACCTGGGTGCGGTTTGCCATCTGGATGGCTGTGGGTAGGTGTCCTGTGGCAGGGAGTGCCATGCCTGCAGGTCTCTCCTGGGGGGCTGTTAATGGTGGCAGCCCACCAATGTGCATTTCATTATGGAAACTGTCCTGCAGGTTTTGTGATTTACTTTGGCTATGGGATTCGGAACAGCGTGGAAGGGAAAAATGCAGAAGAAAAGCCTCTTCACCATCCTGGCCTGGACCTCAGCCCCGGGGCTGCTGCAGTCTGAGGGACTGGGCACCATCACTCCATGGACCCCTGCCAGTATTCCCGCTTGGGGACAAGATCATCATGTACAGTGCATCCACCCCCTCTCCTGTAGGGAGTCCCAGAGTCTGGACTGCGGAGCTTGGTCATGTACTGCCCTTTCCCCTCTCAGAGCAGAGGTTGTGGAGACAAATCTCCAGTCTGGGTGGGTGTGCTGGTGGACCAGGCCTGGTCTCTGTCCTGCTGAGGAGCAGCAACAATGGTCTGGCCCTCCTACCATGAAAGCTGCTTTCCCTGTGCGCAGGAGGCTCCACATGACGCTGCAGTGGTTCTTGTTCTGTCATATTGCTGTGTTTACCACGTCCTCTCTGGGGTTTCCAAGTGCCAGCTTTGTACATGGCATCCATGGCTGTAGCTGGGCAGAGAAGTTTGCTATGAATCATTCTGATCCTCATGGTACTGCCAGCTGACCAGTACTCCCTGCCAGCGCAGGACTGAGCTGGCCTGTGATTTACATCCGCTACATGAGCCCTGTGCTGCCCTGGCCATGTTGCTTAGCTCCAGTGCCCATGAAGATGTCCCCATAGAGAATCCAGCGGAGGCAGGAGCCCCCCCTTTTTATAGGTAAAAGCTTACCTCGGCGCCTGGGAAAGGGGTCCTGACCTCCGATGGGCTCTGCAGCGGATGGATCCGAATCTCCTGCCTGGCTCACCAAATTGATGCCCAAAAAAAGGCAGATAAAAAAAGGACTGCTTAAAGGCAGAATTTTGAGCCTATAAACAGCAGGTATTTATTGAATTAACGACGTCGGGGTAGCTTCCAGCTCAGGCTGGACAAAAGCTCCGAAGTGGTTCAGTAAAAACAAGCAATTTGTACAGTTTCTAATCGTGATTACAACATAATCACATGCATATTCATATTATTGCATTATTAGATTGCAATATTCATAGCAGGTGGAGTCGGGGTGGAGACTGAGGCGTGGTATCTATTTTGAGGAATAAATTAGGGTAGTTCCGGTCTTGCCTTCATCCTGGGGTCGCAAATCTACTCATCTTCCTCGGGTGACATCCGTGACCTTTTGTTCTATCCATTGTTCTATGTTCTGATCATCTAGGTTTGAAGAAAACCTTGGCTCTAGGCCTACTTTACCTATTCAAATGTCTACCTTGGCTCCTCTGGATGAGATTTATGTGTGTTGAGTTCTTTGTTTAGTGTTTGTTGTGGTTCCTTTAAGGTCTAATGCTCTTAGTACAGCACATTGCCTTCCTCCAAAAGTACAGCTTACAGTGAACGAAATACAGGGGGTAAGGGGGGCTCTTGTGGGTTTACAGTAAAAGTGTTTCAATTAACCCTTCCTCCTTCACCCAGTGTAGCTGTAGTGCTGTCCAACCTCATGTGTTTTTGTACAGTTTGCATTTTAATGCCAGTTTTTATACCTCATAAATATTTTTTAAGTGGTTGCCTCTGTTGATCTTGCTGCGTCTCCTGTTAGTGCCCTGTGGTCATGGGCCCCCGAGCAGGTCCCTGCATGCTACTGGGTTGGGTGCCAGGCTGGTGCCAGTGCAGAACAATGCTAGGTTCCAGCAAGGCTGTGCTGGGTGCACTCCCTGTCTGAAATCTGCCAGCTAGAACCACCCACTCTTGGACTGTCCCCTGGGGCAGTGAGCCTGTGAGCCAGGAGCTGTGGAGCAGTGCTCCAGGCCAGCTCAAACCAGTGCTGCTGGTACCTGGGGGCAGGACAGCATCCTGTCATGGCCCTGCCTTGCAGGCCCTGTGCTGTGAGGGATTGTGTCACCAGGTCCCATAGCAGCAGATGCAATAAAGACCTCGGAAATATCTCCTGGAGGTGTTCTGCAGAGGAAGCATGGCCAGGAGCTGGGCTGCATCCATGTGAGATGATGATTTTCCAGATTCTGGTCTGGTCTAAATCAGACCTGACATTATTATTCAAAATAAGCTAATTTAGGGCAGATGGACCGTGCTTGCTTTTGGCATCTCTCCCTGTTCATTGGCAGTGGCACAGGGTCACTGCACGGTCAGCAGCGAGGCACCCACACCATCAGCTCTGCTTGGCCCTGTGTGCTGCAGCTGTGACACCTGCCCAGGGCTGTGCCTGGAGTAAAAGGGGCTGCAGTACCTGCTCTGACTCTGGGCCAGCCACTCACTGCCCCAGTGCCCTGGGCTGGGGTGCCCTGCCAGAGCCTCAGGCTCCAGCCCCCAGGTGGAACTGGCTCCTGGCACCGGCTCCTCACGGCTTCTTCCAGCCCTCCTAGTCAAGCTGGTGCCTTGGTGTGCCCCACTCTTTCACCACCCCACCTTGTGGGTATCTTCTGGCCAGGGGCAGCACATGGGGCCCTGCTGAGCCCTGAGCCTGCAGACCCCCTGGCACCTGTGTCCCTGGTTCTAGGTGCTGTTACCCAAGGCTAGAGGGCAATGGGCCTATGATAGAGCTGCAGCCTTCACCCTCTGGCTTGGCACTGCCCCCCATGCCTTTGTTTGTGCCAGTGTCCCTATGTATGGGAGCATGTCCAAGGCCATATTTTGGTCTGTTTGTGCCTGTGGGCATGCCTGTGCCTGGCTACAGGCCATCCCACTGCACACTGCCATCCCATCCTGGGCATCCGGTGGGACTGGCAGAGCTCTGGACATGGAGCAGGGTTCTGGAAGCTTTGGGTGACTCCCACCATGGCAGTTCAGCAGGGGAAGCAGCTGTCTGGCAGCCACCAGTCTGTGGTGGGTCGGTGTCACCCTGCCATGGGCACAGGTGCTGGCAGGAGCCACGTGGCCACTTTGTCCTTGGCTACCAGCCTGGGGAGGCTGTCCCAGCTCTGCACACCCACTCTGGGGGAACCCTGCCTCCAACTGCCTCCTTCTGCTCCATCCATCCCTAGGTTAGCAGAGCTCCTAGGGATGGCACCATATCCTCCTGCTGGGCAGCACCTCTGCCTTTCCCAGGCCACACTGGTTGTTACTCGACATCTCGGTGCACCAGCTGGTGGATGAACGGCAGCCAGCTGGAGCCCCAGCGTGTGTGTTGTGTCACCAGCTGGCTGCTCTCCCTGCTGTGCCCACTGCCCCAGCACGCTGCCTGTGGGCTACCGAGCTGCTCCGATAGCAGCCCACGGCTCCGGCGTGCAGAGGGGCTGGGAGGGAAGCACGTTCTGGGTGAAGGCTGGCAGTGCTGGGGGCTGTAGGGTGGGCTTTCCCCTCCCATGCTGGACAGGAAGGGGCCATTTTCTGGTTTAAGAAAACTCAGCAAAAAGCAGAGCCTGGCCTTGCTGCCGAGGGGCCTGTGACGACCCAGCCTTTTAGGGGAAGGAAGCGCCCAGTCCTGCACGCAGCTGCCTGCGGTTTGCCCTGGCAGCCAGGGCACCTCCACCCAGGCTGGCAGCACAGGCTGTGTCCCTGTCTGCTGCCCAGCCATGGGCCTTCCCCAGGGCAGCTCCAGGCCTGGCACAGCACCAAACACACAGGAAGCACTCTCCTGCTCGTGCCTCTGCCACTGCGCGGGCACCAGCGCGGGCAGGGGCAGCAGGGCTGGCTCCTGGCTCAGCGTTGCCTCGCTGGCTCTAATGCCAAGGGGGACACTCAGAGAGACCCCCGCTGGGAGATACAGCCAGGGCTTGGTTTGTGATCTCCCTGTTGCCATTTAAATTCCCCTGGATTTAAAGGGGAGCTGGAGGGCTGTTGGCTCCCTGTGCCGCCTTCTTCCCTGTAAAGCCAGCGAGTGGGGACCGTCAGATCCTCTTCCCTGCAGGTGACGTGCTGGTGGAGCACAAATCCATCAGCAGGACATGAGTCCTGGAATCCAGGGAACTGACTCCAGGCAGATGGGGTCACCAGCATGACAGAGCAAACCGTTCAGCTCCTCATATATCTGCAACAGCCCCGGGTTGTGCTGCACGGGCCTGGCTGTCCGGAAGAGCTGCAGGAGATCAAAGCCAGAGAGATTCGTATCACTCCTCACCCACCTGGCTCCAGACAGGTCCCAACCCTTCTGCTTTCTGTGGTAAGCTTGAGCATGCATGACCCAGTAGCTGGCAGGAGGCTGCGTGCATCCGATAATCCTCCTGGCCCTGAGCTCTCTAATCATACAGGCTTAACGTTCGCCTTGCTTTGCCTTTGCAGGCAGATGGTTGCTCTTCTCTTACTCTCCTTTCTTCTAGTGCTGCAGCTGGTGACCTGGTTCCCACTCGTGCTCCCTGCTCTGCACTGCAACCAGCCAAGGGGTGGTTCCTGTCACAGTCTGTCCCGGAGCTTCTCTGCCACCATCAGGATCCCCACAGGCTGTGTGGGTGTGCTGGTGTTCGAAGGCACATCCTCACCACTGCCTACTGCCCTCACCGTAGCAAAGTCTACGTGAATGGGGACAAGAAAATCCAAGTGGGTTTCCTGATGCTGGCACAGGGCGCTGGCAACGGGATGGGGAGGCTGGTGATGCACGTGGGCCCATCCCTGGTCAGTGTGGGCTATGACTGCACCCTTTTGAATCTGCACAGGCCACGCTGGCGCCTGCACATGAAGCTGATGGCAGCTCTGGCAGCAGAGAAGATGGCTGGGAAGGGCAGGGATTTCTCAGGGTTTGACAGTGACCTGCTGGGTGAAGTGGTCTGCCTCCTGTGCGGGAGGGAGGACGAGATGGTCCTTCTCATCTGCTTCTCTGGGGTGTGTGTGCAACGTGTGGGACCCTATATAAAGCTTGCCTTATGTCTCTCTACCTCACACACAAGAGATTTTTTGCTAATCCTAGATTTTAAGGCTGTTACTCCTCTCCATCTTCCTTGAGTTTTCCTGTTTTCCTGCTGTGTTTACCCAGGCAATTATTCCCTCTGTAATTCGTATTCTCCACAAGGGATCTCACTCTGGTGGTGCTTTGCAAGGCTGGACAGGTGACTGCTTGTATTTTTCACTCTGTTCCTTTTCACTGCATCTCAGGGGCAGGCCACTCAATTCTGTCACTGCTTAAAGAAGAATGTGCTGAAGAATAAACATGCAGTCCCTTCAAGACCTGTGACAGTTGTACGGGCACAACAACCTGACTTGCAAAACAAACGGGTAGGAGACATTTCAACAACCCAAATGTAACACCTCCTCTAGCTCAGTTATCAACACTTCATGTGAGTGTTAAACTAATTTAACTTATTTGCCTGGTCTGCAGATGTGTGTGCAACAGTTTCTATCACCCCAGATGAGATAATGCATGTAAAATCATGACACATTACTGGGCAGGGAGCAGCTGCTATTATTTACACAATACAAAGCAAATTTACAGACAGAATTTGACTTGTTCAGTGGAATTACCTGCCCTAGCCAAGAGGTTCTTAGGGACAGATCAAAAAGGGTTTACATCTCCTCTGGTCAGGGTGCTTGGAAGTATCTTTTTTGGTCCCTACCTTTTTTGGGTTACTTGATGGAGTGGGCTCACACGCTGACAATAAACTGGAATATGCATTCTCCAGAATCCCACCAGGCTTAGCAAAGCTAGTGTCTTCTCCTTGTTAGCTGTTAGCATAGTTCTTACCTTATCCATAGGGACATGATGACATCCATCTGGTCATTCTGTTCCCAAGAACTGAATAGCCAGTGGGATTACCTGTCTTCCTGCTGACTTTTGGCCCCTGTTACCCCATCACTGGAACAGCCAGTCAGGAACCCCCATACCTGCCTGGTGTGTGTAATCTTTCTGCATGTCTCAAAGTTCTGCTGAGGTCTGACTGGATAGTTTCCACTTCTTCTCTAAATTCCCTCACTCCCTCCTGCATTTTTTTGTGCTGAAGAACCCAGCTTCTTGATTGAACCCTTCTTCTTCCTCCTCCCTTAATAACTGATGACAGGGACCATTTGACCTCAGCAGGCTCATGCCAAGGCCCAGCACAGTGCCAGAAGCTGCTGGTTCTCACTAGGGCCCCCTTCTATCAGCAGGCATGTCAGTCTGCCAGGGTTACTTGCCTGTTCAGGTGTGAAGTCCTGGGCTATGGGAGTTGATAACTGGCCCAGGCACCTGCCCAAATCCTTCCACACACTCTGCCACCCACGGGCCGGCCGCCTCAGGGCACATTTTAGTACTGACTCACCCAAAAGTTGCCTTTTCTTACACCAGGATGACACCAGATTACACAGACCCCGTGATATGCCAGCAGTGTTAATTAGTAGTATTAAACAGCTCACAGGAGGGTGAGCAGGGACCTCAGGAGCCTGCACAATAAAGCCACCCACACCAGTCCTGGCTAGGGAGAGGGAGATGTATTCCCTGATCCACTGCAGGAGACAGCTCCCCCAGCAGAGCAAGGCCATCAGTGCAGAGCACAGAGCAGTGGTTTGTACTAACACATTCCCAGCCCAGCAAAGAGATAAGCAGTGCAGCCAACAAACTGGGACTGACAGGAGTTGCCTGCTTAGCAAATACATCTACAGCACACTGACACAAAACTGCCACTGTCTCAGGCCCCACGCTGGGCTCCAACAGGACTGTGGGGGCTGACCCTGGCTGGACTCCAGGTACCCACCAGGCTGCTCTGTCACTCCTCTCCTCAGCAGGACAGGGCAGGGAGAAAGTGAGATGGAAATGGAAGCTGTGGGTCAAGATAAAGGCAGTTTAATCAAGCAAATGCAAGGTCGCCTGTGGAAACAAAGGAAAACTAAATATTTATCCTCTATTTCCCACCAGCAGGAGACGTCCAGCCACTTCCTGGGAAGCAGGGCTTTAGCACACACAGCAGCTGCTCCAGAACACAGATGCTTTCCTAAGGAATGCCCCCTCCTCCCTTCTCTCAGGTTTTGTGGCTGAGCAGACACTGTATAGTCTGGAACATCCCTTTGGTCAGGTCGGGTCAGCTGTGCTGGCTCTGCCCCCTCCCAAGATCTTGCCCTAGCCCAGCCTGCTGGTGAGGGGGAGTTGTCAGAGACAGCCTTGATGCTGTGGGGACACTGCTCAGCAGTAGCCAAAACATTGGTGTGTTATCAACACCTTTCCAGCTACCAACTCAAAGCACAGCTCCATGAGGGCTGCTTGGGGTAAAATTACCTTCACCTCAGCCAGAGCCAATACAACTGTTTATTTAAAAAAATTAACAGAAACTTTTTAACAAAATCACACCGAACAGCAAGGATCTGAAAAGCCAGGCAGCACTGGGGCATCACAAAGAGAAATGCTCTGCAGGCCCTGACCAACCCAAGGGCTAGATGTGCAGACAAGCACCTCCAAGTGGATTATAACACTTGTTCCGTGTCTCTCATCTGAACAGTGACGCTGCTTTTTAAGCAGGTGAGGTTGTAAATTAGAAACCTGAATCTCTTGTGCATCCCCACGAGGCACCTGGAGGGCTCAGATGGTGGAAAGCTTTTAAAATGTCCCACCTGAAAGCAACCACGGCTGCAGCTGCAGCTTGGAGGCAGCCACCTGCTTCAGCTGCAACATGAGGAGGATGTCGTAGCATAAGGTGTGTGTGACATGCTGCACTTCTTCTTGCCCAGAATCCTGCAGAGCTGTCCTTTTTTTTTCCCCTTGTTGCCCTGTATCAGCACAGAACATCCTCTCTAGCTCAGAAGGAAGGGAGAATGAATACATGGATATCCACAGTCTAAGAGGGCCACCTTTTGCTGGAACTTGGATCTCACTCCATACCCCGATCCCAAATGCGAGAACAGGGCTAGCTCTGGAGGGGCAGAGCCCTTTATGAGCTAGGAACCACGTGGCAGTTAATAGATTGCAGGCTGGTGATTTGCCTTCTGCATCTGAATGATCTTGCCAAAGCCACCTCTTCCCACATCGTAGTCTGTCCGGTACTCATCTCGCACCTGGGGCACAGCAACAACACACACGTCAGAAACCTGCACTCTGTCTCCTCCTGGACTTCAAAATCATCACCCACTCCTTGTTCAGTTGGTGGGGAACTGAAGTTCAGGCTAGAAGCACTTCAACTCGATTGAGATCTCTTCAAAGAACCCACCAAAAAGGTGGTGAAAATTACAAATTAATATCTATCTGATGGCTGAGGTATTTTCAGATAAGAAGCAAGGAAGAGCCCAAAACATTTTCATTCAGCTTTGCAGCCCAGCTTTCTGAATTGCCAGGCTTGGCCCCCTGGAACATTTTATCCCCTCCACCCTGGAAATCTGCAAAGGAACCTCACACCTTTGCCCTGGGGCAAACTGCCGTGTCATGACATTGGTCTGGCGGCTACACTGTCCCCCTCCACACAAACTTTGCATCATTTTAAGAGTACTGGCTTGGAGGTGGGAACATCCTGCTTGCACTACAGGAAGTTTGGAGTCCTAGATGGAAAGTGTCCCAGGCATCAGTTACCAAAACAACCCGGGAGCGACTCAACTTTGCCGTCAGGTCCTTACGGTCTGCGTGAGACAAAACAAGCTAAGAAGGACCAGAGCCCTTTTGAGAGGGGGAGGGACCAGAATGAGGGGTTGCACTGGGGTTGCCTTTACCTGCCCTCCAGTCTTTCCTCTGCCGTACTGCCTGCCCTCCTTGAAGCCGGCGTCCCAGTCGGTGCGGATGATGCGGTCGTCGAGCCGCGTGCCGTTGATGAACCGCATGGCGTGCTCGGCGTCCGCCCTCGTGTAGTACCTGAGCCCCTCTATAAGGACATCTAAGCCTGTTTGGGTTTTTTTTGCTTTTTTTTGGGTTGGGCAGATGGAAAACGAAAAAAGAGAGCTATTGTATTTGAGAAACAGAAAAAAAAAAATAATAAACCCACCCCCGCCCTCCAGCCTTTTTTCTTCCCCCACAGGATCAAAAACTGCGCTAAAAGCGGCCAAGGCTCTGAGAGGAGCCTGCGCTTTAATGTCAGTGCCTGCACAGGCAAGGAGATGAAACAAAGACATTAAAGCCTTGCTAAGGGCAAAGAAATGGGTAACATGCCTCCTTGTGCTACGTGGAACTTGACTGAAAGAGAACAAAAGGGGAGCTCTGCACAGGCAGCTCGTGGCACGGCCTGCACGAGCGTGTACATTCCTGGGCCTGGGAATGCCCCCCCGGCTTATCCTGCTACTTCCTTCAGGTGTACAGCTGAGGTGAGAAAGCCAACACGTGCTCTGGCCACAGAAGACCTCAGACTGAGCGCTCAGTTCACGTTCTGGCCCTAAAACCACGAAAGAAATGAATAAATTAAGAGTAGGTCTCTGCCAACCCCAGAAAGCAGAGCAGCGGTGGCACTTGTGACGTGTGGCACCACTGCACAGTCTGTCTCACAGTTAGGCTGGGGAAGAGCACGGTGCGAGGCTGGAAGGGATGTGCCTGGCACAGAGCACCTGGCTGTGCCTCCCTCCCCTCAGCAGCACGGCTGGGTTTGGAACTAAAGGTGGCAACCACACACGGGCTGACAGGAGGGGAAGAGAAAGGATACTCGACAAAGCAGAAGCCACAGGGGGTCTTCTTGATCTTGTCCAGACCCATGACAATCCTCTTGACATCCCCGCACTTGGAGAAGAGCTCCTGGATCTGCTCCTCGGTGGTGTAGAAGGACAGGTTGCCGACGTAGAGCGTGGAGGAGATCTTCAGGGACTTCTCCTGCAGCTGCCTGCTGCCCTGCGGGCACAGAGGCGCGCACGGCGGGGTCAGTGCTCCCGCCGCCCCGCTCCCTCCCGCTCCCTCCCGGCCCTGCCCCGGGCACGGCCCCCCCCGGCCCCGCCGGGCGCACCCGGAAGTGCTGGTCGCGGTACTGGCTGATCTCGCAGTACGAGTCGCTGTTGAGCCCGCTCAGCGTGGTGTGCAGCAGCCCCGACATCGCGCCCGCCCGCCCGGGCCCCGCTCCCGAGCCCCTGATCCTGATCCCGGTCCCTCCCTGATCCCGATCCCGGCCCTGCTCCCGGGATCCTGCCGGAAGTGCCTCGCGCACCGGAACGCGCGAGGAGGAGGAGCCGCCGCGCCGGGCGATTGGCTGAAAGAGCTGTCGCTCAGCAGGAAGAGGCGGGGCGGAGGCGCCGAGCAGCCAATCCCGACGGCGCGGCGGGTCCGCCAGGAGCGCCGGGCCCGGGCCCGCGCAGGCGCAGTGCGGTCGCGCCGTTCCCGCCGCGCGGCGCCCGCTGAGGGAGCCGCCCCTGAGGGGCCGGCCCGGTCATGGCGGAGCCGCCTGTGCCCAACCTGCAAGGTACCGCGGGGCGCGGGCTCTCCCCGCCCGGTACGCGCCGCCCGGCTGTGCGTCACGCCCCGCTCTCCCCCTGTGTTGCAGGGCTGGTGCGGGAGCTGCTGAGGGAGGAGGCGCCGTTGCGCATCGCGGCGCTCACCGAGGAGCTGTTCCTGGCGGCGCGGAGCCTGCCTGAGGAGGCCGGGGGGGCGGCGCAGGGAGAGCCCCCCGCTCCGGGCCCGCCTGAGGGAGCGGCGGGTGCGTGTGCCTCGCCCCCCGCGGGCCTCGCCCAGGTTGGTGCTGCGGCTCTGCCAACACCCGCTGCTGCTGCTGCCGCTGCCGCCCATCGCCACCACCCGGCAGCGAAGATCAGTGCTCGGCACTGCACAAAACAGCTCTTCCTTGAGTCGTGGAAGCCCAAAATAAAGTGGGGAGTGTGGATCCTAAATGTAAAAGTGTGTGCCAATGACGCCCCTGGGATGCTGTGTCCGGCTCGAGGGTCCCCAACACGGGAAGGACACAGGAAGGACCTGCTGGAGCGGGTCCAGAGGAGGCCACCAGGATGATCAGAGGGGTGGAACACCCCTCCTGGGAGGACAGGCTGAGGGTTGGGGTGGTTCAGCCTGCAGAAGGCTCTGGGGAGTCCTTAAAGCCCTTTCCAGTACCCAAAGGGGTGCCCAGAGCGTTGGAGAGGGACTTTGGACAAGGGAGTGGAGTGATAGGACAAGGGGGAATGGCTTTAAGCTGAAAGGGTAGATTTAGACTAGATATTAGGAAGAAATTCTTCTCTGTGAGGGTGGGGAGGCCCTGCCACAGGTTGCCCAAAGAAGCTGTGGCTGCCCCATCCCTGGAAGTGTCCAAGGCCAGGTTGGACAGGGCTTGAAGCACCCTGGGCTGGTGGAAGGTGTCCCTGCCCGTGGCAGTGGGGTTGGAACGAGATGGTCTTTAAGGTCTCTTCCCACCCAAACTGTTCTATGATGATAATGGGAAAAGTTATTGGTTACTGGTGATGTTGAGGGTTTTATTATTTCAAATTTCTAGTGGTATCTGACTGTCATTTCAAGGAAAAATGCAAGCAGAGAGCACTGATGCGTTAACAGTTTGGTATTGGATCAGAGGAGAGGTCCTTCTCATCTTGTGTGACAGCAGACACTTGAGGAAGAAGAAAACAAGCAAGCATGCTATTTTAACTGCCTGGTAAACCCAGTACATAAGATTAGAGTGGGAGGTACTAATTTTCAGGTGCTAATATCAGAAGGTTCCCAATGTAGGTATTTAAAGTAATTAGCTACTTAGTTTTCTTCTTGATGTGTAAAAGAGGTGAACCCTTACTGCAGATATTTCTCAAAGCTGATAAGATTCTTACAAGTCTTTTCCAATGCCTTCAGATCTTTCAACATCTGTTTAAAGTGTACATAATGTATTCTGGAGGCTGCCAGGGAATCAGTTGTATTTTGGACACGGCGATGTGAAATGGCACAAATTTTTTCTCTCTCTCTGAGTGTTTCTGAGAAATTTGCATCCCAGATGGATGGGGTGAGTGAGGTCATGTTTTGCTAAGTCTGGACTCCATAGAAACATTAATGGCCTTTGTTTAGGAACATATTCTAATGCATCTTAATTCCAGCACTTTTCCCTTACAGAATTCCCTTTAATGTAGAATTTCGAATTGAAGCCAAAGGCGCTGATGGGTGATGTGACATATATGTGCTGCTCGCCCTGTGATTTAACTAGTTGTCTTTAGTTTCAGGTCTTGTCAGCCTTGGATTTACAGAGTCATGTTGTTCTTTCTTACCTTGCTTCATCTTAGAGGTGCTCTCGTGTTTTCAGGGGTGAAATAGCCTTTGCAAGGCTACGCCTGATGAAATGTGCTTGTGACAAGACTATGTGTGCTTCCTGCCAGCTGGTGTGTACTTGAATGAGCCACAGTTTTAGGTGAAGAATTGCTGTGTGGTCCACTCAGCATGCCTGTTTTCAGGTCATTGTCCAGGATGTCCCTGTGGGATCACGTGACAGTTTTATGGAGAGCTCCCAACTTTGCCTGCAGCGCCAAAGGGAGTTGCACAAACACGGTCATTGCTGTGGGGATACGAAACACGGGAAAGGTTGTTCCTTTTCCAGTAGCAAATTTCAGTGGGACCCACGTGCAGGACAGAATTAAACCTCATGGAATTCTCCCCATCCAGGTGGAAGAGGCTGCAGTCAGCCTGTGGAACTGGGCAGTGGCCAAACACACGGGTGCTGTTGTCAACGATGAGCAAAAAGCCAAACGTACGTACGTCCTGTACCTTCCTAAACGTGCAGCACGGAAATGAACAGCTCTCTGCTGACAGGCACGTCTGTGGTGCTGTAGATTCGTTTGGGGCTTTGCAGATGGGGTGTAGAAAGAGGAGAGTGTACAGCTGGGCTTGTATGAACTGCTCAGGGAGGTGTAATTGTTACCTTCTCGTGGCTCACAATCAGTGCAGGCATTTTCATCACTCCTCATTTCGGTGCCAGAGCACAAGGGAGCTGTAATTGACCCTCTGATGCCGTGGTTCAAATCTCAAAATATGTGGAAATAACACGGATGTAAATTTTAGGCTGTTGGTCACTTAGTTTATATCGAGTGAGATTGTTTCATTAATGTAATCATCTCATCAACGTTTATATCCAGAAAAACTAAATCCTCTTTTTACTGACCTGCTTCAGCCAGGTACACAGATGGTGGGTTCTCTGGGTAGCCTGGAGCAGGGCTGGGGAAGAGGAGAAGTGAGCTTTTTGGTCTTTTCCTTCAACGTGTTCCTTCTGTGGTTCTGTGGGATTGCAGGATCAGGCCTACATTCTTTTCTTGAGGGATTACAGTCAAAATTATGTATAATCTGCATCACATTAATTGTATCACGTAAAGGGAAAAGGGTAAGTTTACACAAAATACGCTCTCAGAACACAGCTGAAGGGCCAGGGAGAGGCTGTTTTAAGTACATTAAGTGGTGTCTTTTCCATTCCTGATATATAAAGAAGGCCTGCAAATATTCTTGCTTTTTGCTTTGAAACTGTAAAGATTATTAAACTTCATTTCCTTACTTTGCTCGAGGCTACTTTGAGGCTCTCAAGACATGTTACTGTAAGCACCTGCAATGTAATTAAGTCTTTGAATACCGTGTATTTACCTTAAACTCTCTCAAAATTGTTTAATAGGTATTTTAATGAGAATAATTTTTTTTTCCCTTACCGTCTGAATAGCAATTTTAAAGCATCTTGGCTAAAATTCAGATTTCCTTTGACTCCCGAAGCTTTCAAATTGTTCTCTCTTTTAATGTCAAATGCCAAACATCCCTTCAGATATGGCAGAGCCTGACTTTTTTAAAAATAAAACCACCAAAACCCAAAGAAAAAGTGCCAAGGAAGCTGCTGAATGGCTGCCCTGTTTCCTTGCAGTGCGGTTCGTTGCTTGCAGACTGATCCGCCTTTGTGAGGGCCCCGACCCTGCCGAGGGAACCATCCGAAGGCAGATTTTGGTAAGGCTGATAATTGTGGGTGAGCAGTGAGGTACAGTTGAGCCCCCAGGGAAGGCTTCAAAGCTCATGATGCTTGTTTTGGAGCGGGAGCGAGATAGACGTGCAGTTCTGGAAGGGTGATTGGTGTTTTGGCAGGAGTGTTGCTGACTCTCATCACTTGAGGAAAGATAAGATTGATGATCCCCTTTTTTCCCTTCTAAGAGAACTGAAGTGGGACCTGTATTTTACCTTGCTGAGACAATGGAGTTAGGAGTGTCTGCTCAGCATCACATCTTTTCACAGGGTAAAATGTGTCATGAGCAGCACATTCATTTGTTTCAGTATCTTATAATATTGGCAAGGAGGGCACCATAAGTCTTCTGCTGCATCTAAGTGTTCAGGACTTCATTCAGAAGTGAGAGTTGCTGGTCAGAGACTGCAGAGCTGAAATACCCTTGTGCTGTGCTAGATACACCTCAACAAGATGAGATCTTATGTTGCCTTCCTTGAAAATGACTGCATTTTCACAAAGGACTTACCATGTTCTCCTTCAGATGTCTATGAAAACTGGGAAAGGATGGATAGACGTTGGAAAAGCTGACCTTGCTGATGGATTTCTAGAGAATGCCATGAGTGTAAGCTCTTTTCCAGTTTCAATTTCTTACACACACCCCCCCTCTTTGTAAGTTCCTTGGGTGATGCCTGTGCTTTGTTTTCCAGAACATAGAGAAGCTGTATGCAAAGCTACGCAAGGGGAGCGATGGTGAAGCAGATATTCAAGAGCACAGAGCTGATGTGGAGAACAACCTTTTCAAAGTACTCTCTTATCAAGCTGAATCAGTACGTGTTCCTCACAGTTTTCCTTACAAGTCACGAGAGGTATGGAGGGAAACTCTGCCCCAGTTATGAGATACCTGAATGCTTGGCACTGAAGACTTGCTGAGGGATATGTTTCCCTCACTGAGATGGAAGATAGCAGATCTCGTGCTTGCCTTCGGTGTTGCAATCGTTTAATGGTTTTTAATTTCCCCCGATTTATCGCAGTCATTTTTGCTGTGGTGGTTGTATCTTCCAGTTCGGATTTGTTGCTCTGTGATTTGGCTGGCAAGGCTGTTTGTGAAATAAACAGCTGCCTGTGTGACTCATAAATGTGTCAGTTCCAGCAGTGTCCTGTGCTTGGCTGAAGAAGAGGGGTAGGTGTGGAGCCTGGGTCCCCCAGGCTGAGCTCATGTCACACGTACACTTCTGCTGTGCTGTCACTTAGAACACTCCTCATACTGCATTTATATTTGCAGTTAGGCTGATGAAGGTGTGTGAAGGTGGCATTCCTGGCAGCACATAGCCAAGGTCCATACCTAACAAGTATTTACACTTGTACAAAGTCTTCTGCAATTTACAACTCTCATGACTCTGCAAACTCATGAACATCCTCGAAGCTGTTAATATTATATGCCATCAGAGATCCTGCTGTGCATGCATACCCTCTCTTCCCTGACATGCTGCTTTCCACATACCAAAGCTTTAACCAGTGGGAGAATCAGTACAAAAATTACAAAATCTGGAAATGTTGAGTTCCATGATGTTTGATGTTTTCTTTAAAGTCTTAACCTCTGGCATTGTACAGCGAGGTAAGAGTCGTGGTGATAGTTATTAAAAAAACAATATGAGAGAGGTCTGGAAAAGTGCTAAAGGTTTTCTAGGGCATAAACAAGACAAATTACAGTAATTCCAAGTATGTAATTTAGAAATTCTAAGCTTTGGGAGGAATTGTTGTGCCTGACTGAAGTGTCTGAGTACTTTATCAATGCTGTAGAGTATTAGAGACATAGGAGTGTTAATACCAGAAAATGTAGTTTCCTCCTTTTGTTGATCACACTGCTGACCCCAGTATCCATAAGGGCAGTGGTATCTCCAAAATTCTTAGAAGCTGCCCTAAACAGGCCAAAGCAGTGCCCAGCATTGTTAGTTTGGTCATGGAGGTAAAAAAGGAGAGGTGGTGTAAGATTTGCTGAAATGTTGTATCATCTTAACATCTGAATGATCCTGTCCCGTGCTTTTGGCCCTTGCACACTACCTGAGGACTGCAGTGATTTTTCTGGACGACTTCATCATCTGGCAATAAATATAGAAATACACAGAATTATTATAGCACTGTAAGGACAGATATCTAATCCCAAACCTTGCTTTACTGCATGTGAAAAACCCAAGTCCTATTTTAAAGAATCGGTCTTGTAATGCATTTTAAAGAGCAGTTGCACACTAACAGCCTGTTGGCTTGCTCTGCTGCTTTCCTAGGCGGTTGCTCAGGGGGATTTTCAGAAGGCAATGGTGTGTGTGCAGCGCTGCAAAGACATTGTGATGAAATTGCCAAAAGAAGTAAGTGAAATCATCCCTTCTCTATCATTCCAAACTTCAACAACCTGTTTTCTCTCTCTCTCTATTTTTTTTCTTGCTTCTCGTGGTTGAGAATTTGAAATGGAGTGATAAACTCTTCCTAAACAACGAGAAGACAAATCCATAAGCAAGGCAAAAAGAGTTCTGAATTGAATATGCCACCCACTCTTCTACAGAACCAGCTGCATTTTACATCTTGATCTTGTATCTTCATTTGTACCCATATGAACTTTTGTCTGGGGTCAGATGGGACAAGAGAAGAGCTGTTACTAAATTTTTGATGTGGGATTCTATCACTACCCTCAGTACTAACCTTACTTTTCATGAAACTGTAGAGGCTTCCCATTGCACATTGCATTGTTGGTTTTTTTTGTATTTCTTGTGACACAGATAAAGCAAACTATCATATGCAGACTGCTTCTTTGTTTGCAAAGATAAAAGTCTAATGTGTTTATATCAGAATAAACTTTCCCACATTTATTTTCTTTTGCTCACATGTTTCCCAGCATTTAGGAAACACTTTGTTCCTGTCTCTGTAGGCAATAGAAATGGAAGAGGCAGATGCAGAAAGGGAAATATGGGAAATACGGTAGAAGATTATTTGGGTTTTTAATCAGTTAAACTCCAACTGATTTTAAATTGGATTTTATGATCTGCAGGCCTTGTTTAAGTGCATCTGAGTGACTGAGGCAGTTGCAGGGCTCTAGCTTTGATTTGAATCATAAGAGCAGAGCTCCTTACTGTGAATTCTTGAAAATGCTCACTGGGGTCTTTGCATTCCTGCACCTCATTTCATGTGAACTGAATTTAATCCTTTCTGCCTGAGCTCCTTCATTAAACAATATTAAACTTCTCATGATAAATACTCTTCACAAACCAGGAGCGCTGATGCAGACAAGGGGAAGGCTTCTGATCGTGAAAGAGACAATTTACTTCTGGTTTAAAGAGAGAAACGAGAAACAGGAAAGAGCCAGTGATTGCTGGGTGAAACTTTTGGACTGCTGGGCAGGGGTCAGTCCTTAAATCTACCAGAGTCCCACTGAGAGCACCTGGAGAGCACCCCAAGGAAATCACGGTGTTCCAGTGATGTGTGGCACCCCAGACCAGCTGGAGAGGATGTGCAGCTTGTGCATCATCAGTAGCCTATGAACCAGTACTCAGTACAGTCAACTTTCTGTTCTGGAGAGAAAACATTCACAAGTGAACTTCTGAAAAATAAGGGGTTCACATCTGAGAGGGATCTTTTTTTTCTTTTCTTTTTTTTTTTTTTGGTGTTTGTGCTTACTGAGTCTGTGCTTTTGCAAAGAAATAATAAATTTGAAGCAAGATGTTGTGCTACCTTCCTCATTTTTGTCTGAGTCACTTGCAAGAAACATGATTTAGGCTTGGAAAAAAAAAGAAGTTACTGCAGAGACAAAATGGATGTAAATATTGGCAGCCTGTTAGCATATAAAATGACTTTTCTGTCTCTTCTTTGGATGACATATGACAGCTGCAAATAATTTCAAAGGAAAGACAAGTTGTTATGAGCAGATGTTGCCAGGGCTGATTGGTAAAGCAGAAAGCAACAGTGCTCTGAATAAGCAAGGGTTCAAAAATGGTTTTCTCCCAAAATTTTTAATGCAGATGATCTTTTTTTTAACCCCAGACAGACATGCTGGGGAGAAGCCTGTCATGGAAGAGGTAGAGTCCTCTTCACTTCAATATATTAAACTTTTTTTATAATTTTCAAAAATGAGGTTGTAACATTCCAGTTTTAAGTTGCATTGTTTACTTTACACAGTTCCAGTGCTTCCAGTGTGATTTATTGAACACATAATTCTGTGTTCCTCACGTGCTTCAAGAATCCTGCTGGTTTGCATGTCCTGGGCAGGTTTATGATGCTTCCCTTTCCCACACAATTATAGTTCCATTTTAGTCATGTTCGATATCCCCTTGCAAAAGGCCAGAAGTGGTAACTGTGGTTATTTCTTTGAAGTAAAATGCATTTTAAAGAACATGAGGCTGGAGTGCCGTAGATCTCATGATGTTTTACAAGAACATTATGGAAGCAGGAGTCTTTTATTGCAGACCTGTTACCTGTCAATCCTCTGTTACAATTTTGGAGTGGAAACCTATGAATGCAAGAGGTATGAAGAGAGCTCCTTCTGGCTCAGGTAATGTGCAAGGGCAAAGAAAATAAAATCCTGCTTTTGAGATGTAAAAATATATGTGGAGGAGAGGGGAGAGCAAGGGGAAGTAGAGGCCTAATTCAGAATGTGAGAATAAAAGATTTTAGTTGAAGCAAATTAGCTGAGCAGGTACTTTGTGATGGTCATAGTCTGTTGCCTAAAATTTATGTCTGCTTCCCACATCGATTTCCATGTCATTAGAATGAAATCTTTCCATGGTTCTTGTCAATTCTCTCCCTAATGCTTCTTTAAAAGAGATTATTTTCCTGAAGAGGCTGTTCCCAGTTCTTGTGCCATTCAATAAATGACAGTGGAGGGATTTGACAGCTTTGGAAGAGAGCAGATGAATTTTTCTGACCAGTTTTAGGTGGATCTGTTTTAAACAGCATTTGAATGTCTCATAAAGAGGGGCTTCGTGGGGAGCAAATCCTTGACTGATGAAAAACACAAAGGTCAAGGGGAAAAAGGAAACCTTAGAGATGGGCTGAGTAGGATCCAAATAGCTATTGTGGTACTACTTAGGGTGAGAAAAGGTGGGCTATCAGGAGGAGTATCCTCGTGCCACGGTCACAGCCTCAGCCTCAGCAAATTTGGGTTTATCTCTTCTTGTCCTTTTTCTTTTAAATTGAAGAAAATCAACGGCAGCATGTCAAATCCAAAAGAATTATGGTCACATATGTTGTCAAAGAGGATGTGTAGAAATGCTTAGAATTAATTACACATAGTGCTTTGAAGATAATGTTATGTTTTATTCTCGTGGAAAATTAAATACCAAGTCCTGATGGCAGAATTTGAGGGGGAAATAAAGCGTTGCAAAAGTGAAAATAATGATCCGGCAAAAGAGATGTGGCTCCATCTAGTGGGTTAAGACTTCTCTGGTCTGAGAATAAATTAAGATCAGGAAACGTTGCACCTATCAGAAGATTGACTGAATTTCTCTCTCTTATCCCATTTGATTCTAACTTTCACTTATCATTGACAGCCAGAGTTATGACATTGGGAAGATGGACATGAAATATTCTATTGGCAAAGAAATGCAGGTAAGAAACAGAGAAATATCTGCTTACAAACAGGAAGATTTTATTAAATTGACTCCAATGTATCATCTGCCTCTTGTGTGCCAAACCTGACCAGTGATTTCTTGGCCTCCTTTTCAGAGTTTGCTATGAAGTTTGGCAGAGTTGCAAGTTCAGTTGCTATGAGCATCAGTCACTGCTGAGTGCCCTTAAATCACATTTGAATCCACTATTTCACAGAAAGCAAATTGTAGAAAGTAAGGCTGAAGTAGCCCCTGAAAGGCCATCTCCTCTTCCCTTCCCCTTCTTTCAATACATCACCAGTTACATCTGTGCCATTTCTGATAGATGTTTGTCTGCCTCATTCAGAAGTTTATTAATCCTTTTACTCCCCACAGCGGATATGGAGATTTTAATCTCTTCCTCTCTATATGAATAATTCATGTATTTGAAAGCCATTATGATGTGTGTCTTTATCTTGTTTGGTTTTGTTTGTTTCTTTGTTTTTCTCTCAGTGAAGTGTGTCCCTCCTGCTCTTTTAATTTCTTCTTTCCTTCTGCTTTTTCCAGGTCTCTGATGTTCCTCACTGCCCTTCTGTTCTCTAAACTTTGTGTGATTCATGTCCTGCAGTGCTTTAAGGCTGGATATGTTTCAGAACTGAGCAATCATTTTATGTGCCTGATACCAGGCAGGCATTTTTTTGACTCAAAAAGTCACGACCTTAGAATTTAAGTCTCTTAATATTCCTGTGTATGTTCATGTGTGGCTCTTTCTTTCCTTTCCAGGCTAAAGTGCTGCGTTTGTTGGCCACAACCTATTTCGAGTGGGATTGCACTCTGCACCTTGACAGGGCTCTGAAAGCCATAAACTTGGCAAATCAGGTATAATGTGTTACTCTCTTTGTGGATTGCAATAGATGACACTCAGGCATTTATTAACATAACAATAAGGACTACATGAATCACTGGTGTGTAATCCTTGACAACAGATGGAGGTGTGTTTTCTTTACCTTTCCATGCTCCTAAGTTTTGGTGTTCCCAGCCCTTTTTGTGGAGGAATACTTCTCTGCATGTAGGTGTAGAGCTGTCTGATTGCCCCCTGTCTATGAACAGTGAGGTCCTTTGATGATGATGATGATGCCATGACTAAGATTTCTCTGACATTTTGTGTGAGTCGACACTGAGAGGCAGCCGGGACAGCCACAACCCTCCAGCTGGAACACAAAGAGCAGATTTATTTCTGTTTCCTCCTTAACTGGGGGATCCCCAAAGCCACACCCAGGCAGAGGCACAGGAGAGGGCAGAAAGGCAAATTTAACCTGGGGCCATGCCAGAGCATCCCAGGCCGTTCACACGGGCTTATCAGGCCTTATCACCTGCGAGGTCACTGGGGCCATTTACAGTCACCAGTCCTCTGCTTTGTGACCCCTTCCTCCCAACACCTGCATTCGTGATTTCATAAGCAGTGTGTATAAACCACCTGAGGTTTACACCAGTTAAAATGGATAAGCCCATACTGCTTTTTGAGGTCCCATCTGTACAAATATTTGAGCAAGCACCAGAGGTGTGTTTTGAAAGCTGTAGCCGTGCTCCATCAGTCTGATTTCAAACAATTAGCTCAGCTATTGCACTTCACTAGCACGACTTCATTTCTCCTGGAACCTGAAAAATGAGGTGCATAAGCCTACCAGCTACCCTGAGGGAATAGATCTTATATCTCTAAGCAGTCCTTGCAGTGAGGGCTCTTGACCTTGTACAAATTCTGTTTCCCATATAAAGACTTTAATTAATTTCGTGCTTCTGTCTGTTCAGGTTAGTGTAGAGGAAATCAAATTTGAAAAATTCCTGTTTGTCTTTGGTTGGTCGTTTAAAAATTTTTGTTATATACTTCATAAATAACAAGTTTTCAGTATAAAACTTTGTTTTAAATGAAAGCTCAGATTCATTTTTCCGCATGCTGTTAGAACTTTCAGATGCACGTGCTCATGAGATCAGGATAAAAGACAGTGTATTTTAGTCATTCAAATAACATGCTACTACAGTATATAAGCCCTTTGTCTTTTTTTTTGTTGTACTTATTATCACAAAACTTTTTGAGATGGAAAGTATTTTTATGATACTTTTTGATAAAGGTGAATTTTGATTTTTTATGGAAAACAGGAAGAAAATGTTTATTCTAGAGCCTGAAATGTGCAGTTTTAGTGAGAGCTGCATTATACAGTTTTCATTATTTCCAGTTGCTTCCATTGTTGTTCCCTCCTAAATTTCTTCTTTTTAGAAACTACTTTGAATTCTACTCATATTAATTCTAGAGTAATCCAGCCAATTCACACATAGGAAAGAAGGAAATATTTCTATCCTTGGGTATTGTTCAGCTTCTATTTAAAAGCATCAAAAATAGGCCACAGCAAAATGAGAGTCACACATCTCTTGTTTAGTTGTTCTCAGCGTCTTTTGGCAGTGTAAGATTAAATACTAAAGATGCACTTTGCAATTAAGAAGAAAATATTATGTAAACTGCCAACCTCTTGCTTCAGTCATTAAAATGGAACTGAAGAGTTCAGTGGGGAGAATGTGATTTCTTACTATTTCCCTGTGTTATGAATGTGCTGCACTCTCACAGGATCTGTGTTCTGCAGAGAGCTGTCCAAGTAATGGATTGTTTCTCACTGTGCAGGAGAATACACATCCAGCAGGGTTTTTCTTGAAAGTTAAAATTCTTCTGAAAAGTGGAGCGTCAGATGAAGAGATCAAAGCAGGTATCAAAACTCTGTTTAGGTTTCATAGTAAGGTCCTACTACTCCATATCCAAGAATGTTTAAAGGGAGGAGGATTAGAATTCCAGGGCTATCAGTCTGTCACCCTTCTGTGGTACTACATGAGCTGCACAGGGAAAGCCAAAACACAACAGACAGGTTTTATTCTTCCTTTTGGTTTAGATCTATTAGATTGTTGCTGTTTTTTTCCCCATTTTGTTTCTGTCTTTGAAAGAAGCTGTGAGAGCTAAATGGTAGTTTGAGTAGTTAAGTGTCAAAGTTAATTAAATAATCTCAAGTGCTTTGTGTTCTGTTTAGCTCTTGCAGAATTCCTGCACTTGGAGATGTCTTTGGACTTCTGTTTGAATACTGCCAAACTGCTGCTGGAGCACGGAAGGTAGGAAAGCATCACCAAACACGATGTTTGCAGTTTGTAGGTGTTCCTTTGTAAGCAAAGAACATCTTATTACACAAGTGATGCTTTATTTTAAATAAAAGCTCACTGAGGTGAAGTAAACAGTTTTGAGAGGGAGCCTGTCATTTCTAGAGCAGGTGATACTGATTATGACAGCAACAAAAACAGGGAGTGAAATAAGTTCAGTGGCAATCTGCAGTGCTGTAGCATTACTTTGGAATGATTAAGATTCCCTGTGTAGTTTTAATATGTCTGGAATTATTGGGTGAAATCATTTCTCTGAGCAACCCTCAGAATGAGTTTGGGGTGCTAGAATCGTTCTTGGGAGAAGCAGTAGAAGGATGAACAAGTTACTGCAAATTAAATAGAGGCATGAAATTTCCCCCTGTTGAATGCTCCCTCCTGATTACCTATGGATGTGCTTCTGTCTTGAAGCAAATGGGAGGAGTAAAGTCCCTTGTGAATATGGGGGAACAAGTAAGTGCTAATAGGAAGCTGCCACTGAATAGCTGAACTGTAATAAATTCCTACCTTGATTCATTCTGTCAGTGTGATTGAATGAGAAACACCCTGCATGGCATGAATATGTGAATAATGCCTAGAATGGAAAATTAACAGCTCTTCTGGTGCAGCCTCTTAAAAATGCATCTGTTTGAATAGGGAATCAGTTGGTCTTGATTTTCTGAAATCTGTTCCTGAGCGATTTGAATCTTCACCTGACCTTGGAAGAATTACCCTGCTCCACATCGAGTTCCTGTTGCAGAATAAGAGGGAGCTGCTTGCTAAGCAAAAGATTGAAGAAATTATTATAGGTCTGTATCCGCCTTTTGCTGCTGTTTACTGAAAGCTGGATGTGATTGGCTAAGGTCTTGAATTTTAATTTTCACCTTTTTTTTTCGCTTGTTCTCATCTTTCTTTCTCTTTGTGTCTGTTTTCCTTTATGTTTCTCTCAACTTCAGAGTGAACGACAGTCATGATAAAGCTCAGGGTTAAATTCGTTTGCTCCAGCAATTCCTCCTTCTTAGCTTGGACTGTGTGACTGATACATGTGGGGTTAGAAGCATTTACCCGAAGTTCTGTGTGATGTTAACACTTTGTCCATCCAGCCCAATGTAGTTTTTGTTTCTCAGGGTTTAAAACAGGTTGCATATCCTTGTTTGAGCAGCTGAATAGCAGTTTAGTTTTCATGTCCGTTGCACCTGTAGCACTGTAATATTTTTGGACTGTCAGATCTGCTGTAAACCAGATCCTGTTTCTCACAGCATCAAGCTGGGAGCAAGAGCCACATTTACATTGAAAATATTTTTCTCTTACCCAGGGTTTTTTTTTTCTGAGTTTTGGTTGGGTGGATGGGGTTTATTGTTTGATGGTTGGTTTTTTTTCAGGAACAAAAATGAAGCACTGGGTCCTGACTGAAAGTAGTGCTGTGTGCTATGGGACAGTCTTTCTCAGATAGTTCCTAGATGCTTCTCAGTGTGCTTGGTAAAGTTCTTGTAAAGTGATGATTTGCAGTATCTTTCCAGGTCATTATACTGGGAAACAGCTGTTGCCTGAAACCTTGAATCAGCTGCACATCATCTTGTGGGACAGAGCTGCCAAACATTATGAGGTTTGGGACCAACCAGTAATGTTCTTATTCAAATCAGTGAAAATGAAAAACTTTTTCTGACCTCTTTGATGGGTTTATTTTTGGTTAAAGTGCAAACTGTTACTAAGATCCTTGTTCCAGCTGGCACTGGTTTTATTTTCATCCATCTGGGTGCTGTTTTCCGTTACAAAATCGAGTTTCAGGTGGCCTCATCTCAAGGTTTGTGCATGGGGAGTTATGGTTAGAATTCCTTCTCCAGCTGGATCCCTGGGGCCCGCTGGGATTCATGCAAGGGTACCCAAAGAGCTGGCTGCTGTCACTGCAAGGCCTCTCTCAATGATTTTTGAATGGTCTTAGGGATCTGGAGGGGTCCCAGCTGACTGCAGGCTGGCAAATGTTATCCCAATTTTCAAGAAGGGCAAGAAGGACGACCCTGGAAACTACAGGCCTGTCAGTCTCACTTCAGTGCCTGGTAAAATTATGTAGATTATTCTGGGAGTTATTGAAAAACACCTGAAGGACAATGCAGTCATTGGTCACAGCCAGCACTGGTTCAGGAGGGGGAAGTCCTACTTGTCAAACTTAATTTCCTTTTAGGACAAGGTCACCCACCCAGTGGATCAGGGGAAGCCAGCTGATGTCATCTCTCTGCATTTCAGTAAAGCTTTGGCTACTTTCTCTCACAGTGTCTGGACAAATTAGAGGACTGGGCACTTACAAACTGTATGAAATGTAACAAAGGCAAGTGCCAGATTCTGCACCTGGATGTGCAACCTGGATGTACAGAGAGCTTGGGGAATGAGAGGCTGGAGAGCAGCACCGTGGAAAGGGACCTGGGGGTCCTGGTTGGTGGCAAATTGGACAGGAGCCAGCAGTGCCCTGGCAGCCAGGAGGGGCAACCTCATCCTGGGGGAAAAGTTACACTAGAATATACCTGACTCCTTCAGTCTTTCATTTTCTGTGACCTTTTTTTTACATAAAAACGGGGAGGACGTAGGCAGTTTAATCACCCACTAAGTTTGTGTCTGTTTGGTTGTTTTTGTTTTGGGTTTATATTTCCTAGGAGAAAAGCTATTCTGAAGCCCTTCACTGGTACAATTACTCTGTCAGCTTCTACACACCCAGGCAGATAGATCAGAACTTGGCCAAGCTGCAGAGGAACATGGCTTCTTGCTATTTTCATCTGAAACAAGTCGACAAGGTATATTTAATACGTATGTAGACATATTTATGCATTTATTTGCGTTGTTTTCATTTTGTAGCTGTGTCATCGGGACTAAATTTACATCTGCAGGGAAGTGCACCTGCTCTGCCTGCCCAGGCTTTCCTGGTTTGGGGGTGTTAAACCTCACAGTTCAAAGTGCCAGCAGGGAGTTTAATATTTCAGCATTCTCAGGGCTTCCCTTGCTTTCTGAATCTGTAGCTCTGATTTTGAGGAATTGGCTCTTTCCTTTCTGGTCATTGTCATCCTTCAGTGCCATCTTCTGGTCTCCCTTTCTTTCAAGGGAGGATGTTGCCAAACCAAACTCGTTGAGTAATTATATAAATATCAACAATGTAACCATAACATTTTTTCATATCTTTTTAGCTCTCTTCTGTTGCAAATTATGTACTACTAGTTTCATAATGTTTTTGTACAGATTTCCTTTAATCTTTTCTCTGACTAGGCTAAAGAGGCAGTTAGAGAAGCAGAGAGGTGTGATCCAAACAGCATCTTTACCAAATTCAGTGTCTATAAGATTGCAGTGATGGAGAACGACATTAATAAAGGTAAAAGCTGAAAGATAAAGGGTCCACTCTAAGGAGAAGAAGTGCCACATATGTTAGGAAATACTGAACAGATTTGGACTGTTCATCTTGAGAAAGACACTGCAGAGGGGAGGTAGAAGAAGGGTCTCTGAAGTCATTGAAACTGTCAGGCTGCAGATTGAAATTTTCAGAGTGGGTTGTTTTTTTGCACAGAGGTTGTGAGGTGCAGAATCCATTGCTGTATTTGATACTGTCTGGGTGGAGCCTCGGGCTAGGAAGTCTCTTATCTTCCCGTGGGCAGAAGGTGTGGTAGCAATTCAGGGTGAGAATCATTGTATGCTCACTGCTTTTCATATGCTTTTGTATCCATATGCAATATAACAAAAGGATACTGAGCTAAATGAACCTTGAGGGAACCATTATGACTGCTCTTAATTCCTCTGGACAAGTAAAGCCTGGAGTTATCACCAAAAAAATGAATTACTGAGATGACTTGCAGAATGACATATCTCTGTAGCCTCTTTCTTTTTTATAATGAGTTCTGCCATTTCATATTTTAATGAGAATCTTAGCTCAAGTAATGAAAATTGACAAACACACTCTCTACTTACTTTGAATACAGAGTAACACACAGATCTTTTTTTCCAGTGAGTTCTCTGCCAATTAATTCTCCTCTATACATCTTTTAATGAGAGCATAATTTGTTCACATAATATAGAGTGGGAACCACAGCACAGTGTGAACATGAAAGCAGTGGCACCCTTAGCATAAGCCAAGATGTGGGAGCTTGGAATGACGCCCAGACAGTGTATTAGAGAAAGTCTTCTGTCTTTGGTGACAAACAGTTATTTAGCAGAACAAAAATTAGGATGTGAGATGAGTATCACTTGTATGGCATCCTTAGTTCCTTAGATTAGTAGCTTGGAAAGCTTTTTGGCACCTCCCTGGGAAGAAATGCAGATCTGTGGAGAAGTGCTGGTATGGTCAGGTTTTCTTGTCTTGGTTTTTCTTCAAAAAAAAAAAAAAAAAAAAAAAAAAATGATAACCTTCCATAAGTCATTAAAACAGCAGAACTTTCCACCTTCCAGTTGCTTCCATAAAAAAATGTTGGTTCTTCCCTATGTGTCTTTCAGCTGTGGAGGCAGTGGTTGAGATGGGCAAGCTGGCAGAAAAGACATCACAAGGTGAAGACAAGCTGGGAGTGGATAAAAATACAGGCACTAACCTCTTGAGTTTGGCTGCCCAAATTGCATTAGAGGTAGAGCAGATAACGTTGCCTTTCCTTTGCTTTGCTGATATAAGTAGGACAGCTGTAACCTCTTTAACCTGGCCTACTTTTAATATCTCTCTGTATTCCATGGATTTCTCAGGATTTTGTGCTTCTGTGGCAAAGGTGTGTTGTGGAATGCAGAGTGCAAATTAATTTCATGTAGAGGGAAATGGTGTCTTTTAAAATTTCTGCAGAAAAAAAAGAAAGGATTGTGAGTTATAAATGCTGGCAGCTGGAAATCACAGGGTGTATTTCTGTAAGAGTTTCCTTAGCAAAATTTACCTCGTCTTCTGCCCCTGGGGTTTGATCCTGGACGTGAGGCGGGGGAGCCTGTGCACAAAACACACATCAGCCAGCAGTGAAAGAATGGAAGGCCCTTTGTCCCTCCTGTTTGCCTCTTGGTTGGTGACCTGAGTGGTGTCTGAGCTGGCTGATTGTATTTTAAGCTGTCAGGGCTTTGTCCACAGCCCTGTGAGGCATGAAAGCCTTCCCAGCCTGTGCTGGTCCCATTCTTGCCACGGGCTCTCTGTGCTCGGATCGTGTGATCTCTCCTTAGAGTTTTCTCTGCACTCTGAGGCAATTCTGTGCACAATCCTTTGTTCTTTTTCCTGCTCCTGGACTGTACAGACCTCTGCAATATGTTGTTGCTTTGGGGTTGGTTTGTTTTGTTGTTTGGGGGTTTTTTTATGTTGTTGTTGTTTTGGCTTGGTTGTTTTTTTGTAGTGACTGAGGTAGTGCAGTTTATACAAAACATCTTTTAATTTCTTTTCAGAATGACCAGCAAAGTGTGGCCATCAAAGCTTTGGAGTATTTGTCTGAACATTTACAAGACTACCAGCAATTATTTGCAGCCTTAAAGTGAGAATTCAATGTATTTACAAGGGAGGAGAAATTTTTCTTGTCTCTTTTTGAAAACTATTATAACCAGGAAGATGGAAGACTGCTTAGATGAAATATTTAGCAGTCTTTTTGGTGCTGCAGATGTACCTCAAGCCTCATCTCCTAGTACCAGCCAGCTTGTGTCCTCTGATGAAGTGGCATCTTCTTGAAATATTCCATCTTGTTTATAAAAACAAATATCGTGAGACAGATGTATTTATTCCAATATTTCCTTAAAGCCTTTGTTAAAGTAAATTTATTTTAAAGTACATTATTTACTTACCATTACATGATTGCTTACTATTACATGATTTAACAGTGATATACAAAGCAAGGCAGTGGAGTGGGAAGTAGCACAGTCTTATTCTCACTTTGACATTTTGAATTATTCTGTGAGTTCCAGGAAGAAAAGTGGGATCCCCTGTGGAAAATTAGGACAGAGTACACTGTTGAAAAAAAAAAAAAAATCTTGTTTCTTCATTGCTTTTTTTCCCCTCAGGTGTTTGGTTCGTCTGCTGTTATCGAAAGTCATGGCAGAAAAGGAAGAGAAAAGGTGAGTCCATCTGCAGAAACATTCTCCTGTTGTACAAATGGTGTGATGTTTTCTTGCTGGGCTTCTTTTCTTGCAGAACTAATCAAGAGATTATTTTTTATGCTTGCCCTAATGACATCACATAGGAACATGTTTTCTACTTGTATAACCTCTTCTTTAAGGATTTGCTCTTTGCCTTCCTCTCTAATGAATGCTTCAGGTTGTCAGGTGTTTTTAATGGAGGAGGTGAGCTAAGCAATCTCTGTAACTTTGACACTGGTGTGATGTCTTTCAGAAGTTCTGGGTGAGAGGAATGAATACATCCATGATTATGGATTGCATAATTGTGTCATCCAACATAAATAACGTGTTCTGGGTGGGAGAAAGCTAATCAGTGTTCTGAAACTTGATTTTTCCTCCTTTCTAGAGATGAAGATATCGATTCAATACTGAATTACTTGAACTTGGGTATGCTTTTGTTTAATTTACATTTTCTGGAGTTCTTCCATGTGTGAACATTTTATGATGTGATTAGGTCCATACCAACAAAATGTTTGGACTCCTTTATTTCAGTCCAAGTTCCCAACTTGTCACTGAAATCAATGAAAACTAAAACTGGACTCAGTGTTTTGCTATCAAAAACTTGCAGTTCTACTGCAAGTAGAAGAGAATGAAGAGCAGAATTAAATTAATTAGAAGGTTCCTAGAGGAAAGGCCTCAAACCTGCTCTTAAATTTAAAAGTCCTCACCTTCTTGTGGAATTAAGTAAAAGTTCTCTGCATAAGGCTTCAGTGTCAGTAAACTTTGAAGAGGCAGTACTTGTTGGCATCTTCTATAAAATGCTGTTTGAGGCACCTTTTGATGTTTTTTTTTATCAGGCTTACTGGTGAAAAAGGTGAGATTTAAGTTGTGAGAGTAAGTCTTCAGCAGGAATTACATGGGAGTTTTGGGAACCTGTTTTGTAGTGTAATGATTAGACTTGGAAATGTTTTTGAACATACAAGTGTTCTGAACAACACATTTTCTGCAGCTCACAAGAGACTTGCTGAGTCTTTCACAGAAGAGAAATTTTCAGGGGACATGAGGATCCTTGAAGCTCACTGGTTTAGAAAAGTTGGTAGGTTGTACTCTCAAAATCTAAACTGAATCTCTCCTCTACCTCCTCTTAGCCTGACCTTAAGGAAGAAAGAAGTGTTTAGAGAGGTAGTAGATTTATAAAACTTGTCACCTTTGGCAGTCACTGCCTTACCTGATTTTAAAGTTCTCCTGCTGCATTTTCTGTCTTCTGAAATTATCTGACATGATTCATGTTTTAAGCCAGTTATCAACACAAACACAAGGTCTGTTTGCCTGAAGGGGTGGATGATGAATTATTCCTTTCACCTCAGGAATTGTTGCACATGTCCATGGTGCAGCTCCTCACAGTTCACCACTTTTCTCTTAGTTACACCTTTGCCTTCAACTACAGTACAGTGTCTGAAATCTAAACAGCAAATATTACCCCACATAAAGTGTTTTCTAGTGGAAAATGCAGCTCCCACAGAGCTGTACTGAGCTTTATCCCAAGTGTTCTCTCTGGATCCTCATTTTACAGTCCTTGTGACGGTGTTTTGGTAAAGAATCAGCATGCTTGCTGTCTAGAAATAAAACCAGTTTTTCAGGCTCTTTCTTCTATCAGAGCAGACAGGAGAGAAAGCAGCTGAAATCAATACCAGAAGAAATCTGCTTTTGCACCCATCCTCCCAATGTAACCGTGCTCCAATGAGGAGGAGCAAAGAGGGGAGAGGAGCAGCAGAGGTCAAACACAGTGACAGGAGCACGAGTGGAATGTGTGGTGACCGTGACCTTCCCAAGGCAGCATTCTCACTCACAGAATAAACAAAGTGGAGACCACAAACCCATGTCCTAGTGGATAAATTAATGTGAGAGTTACTGTAGAAATCAAAGCATTTAATTGGGTCAGGTTCTCATACATAAATCATTTGATTGTCTTTAGATGCTCATCCATTTACTACTCAGAGCTGTGTGCTTAATTGCCCTCTACTTGACCTTGCTGGGGTAAAATGAAAAATGTTTCAGTGTGTTGTGGGTTTTTTTTTTTTCTTTTTATTTGTCTTGGGAATGTTCTTTAACACTTTCATTCATATGCTAGCTTAGTTTGCTGATAAAAGAAAATGCTTCTTCCAGTTCATGCTCCTGTGAGTAGGGTGTGTGCAGGTTGGATGTTTGGTTGTGATGGAATTACCAAGACAAAATTTGAAAGCGCGAACAAGCTATTTTAACACATCACTAATAACTGTATTTCTTACTGTTGTTAAATGAGCTGTCGGTGACATTTTGATTAAGGAATGGAATTGTAGAATGTGAACTGCTTATTGCTAGAGATTAGATAGGCACACGTGTAACAGTCAAGATTTTTATTCTAGTCTCTATTTTTTATTTCTTTGTTAGCTTGGAACTTAGCTGTGCAGTTCAAGGACAGCCCTGGAAAGATGAGGGGCTTTTTTGTACTGTCTTTCAAGGTACTTACTCTTGCTAATAGTGTCTCTAACTGAGGAATATTTTCATCTATCTGGTTCTTTTAGAAGTCACATTCATGTTTTGGGTGTCTCCATGGAGACTGCTTGTATGCTCTGAAGGAGATTGACCTGTAATACAAAATTAAAAAATGTGTGCATTGTTGTCATAATTTACATTCTATTGCTTAAAAATATAATGGGAAACTTAGACTTCAGTGAGAATTTTCTGAAATAAATGGTTTCTGATGTTTGGAAACTGTATCATTAATACAAAATGTTGAGCACTCCACTCCTAATCTCCATGCAGAACTTCTTACCAACACTGTCAGTTTTGCAGTGTTTGCAGAGAGGGAACTCCAGCTCTGCTTTACACTTTATATTTAAATAATCCTCCTGTGTAATTGCACAAGTAAAATTGCAATGTAACTATATACAACTCGTGACTGACTACAGAAAGTGTCACAGAGGAGAGTCAGCAGCCATCTGTTCACGAGCAGATTGCTTTATAAAGGTAAAATTCTCATTACCTTTTCCTATTTTTGGTGTCAGTTCTCCCAGTTTTGTCCCTCTGACAAAGCTGTTCTAATTGCTCAGAAGACGTGCCTGTTAATGGCAGCTGCAGTGGATCTGGAAATGGGGAGGCAGCAGGTGACACCTTCAGAACAGGTAGGGCCAGTTCTGGTAAATATTTCTCTATGTATTTTTTTTTTCTTTTTGGTTTTGAAGTCTTTGGTTTTTTTCACTCAGAACGGGATATTGAGAATGTAAGCAAGGGAATATTTCGTAGTTAATTAGAATGGATGCCCCTTTCCAGACAACTGTAAATGTTGGATTTGGTGGATTTGAACAGATTTATATCAGCAAAGGGTCATGGCAGTACCTTCTCTTAGATGAATTTCAATTTACTGTGTGTATTATGTGAGGAGTCTGCTGCTCAACACGGGCTGGTCAGACAATTACTGCTGGTGCTGAAAACCACTCTGATTGTGATAAAGCTCACAGTTTAGTTTTTGTTTCATGCATACATCTTTTGGTGGGGGGAGGGCTTTGTGCTCACTGTGCTAAGAAGATTAGAGAAAATGTCCAGTGGTTGTGAAGGAAGTAGTAAAGTCTGCTGTGGAGTGATTATAAAAGTTACTTCTGTGGAGAGCACTGCACAGTCTCACCAGCACTGTGTTATGCTTGGGAGCTAAAAACAGTTACACCCCATAGGAACATGTGTGGTCCCTTCTGGACCAGTGGAACCTTGTGAAGAGGCTTTGTCTGAGATGTGGAGCTCTGAAAAAGAGAAATAAAACAACCCCAAACCAGTAACTGGTACAGGTGATTTACTAACTAGGCTGATTCTTAATTTATTTTATGATGAGATAGAGAGGTGGTGTTTGCTGCGACATAATTGTTCCTTTTGCTTTTAAAACCCTGACAAGAAATAACTCCTGAAATTTTGTAAAACAGGTGGAGCTTTTTAGCCAGGCCCTTCAACATCTTCAGACGTGCAAGGAGATCTGGAAGGTGCTCAAATTAACAGGTAAGCTACGAAGTGGGGCTGCTCAGCACATGTAACTCTTAGAATTAGTCACTGTATTCCTCAAAAATGCAGGGTGTAGGGAGCTGCTGTCTCAGCTGAAGGGTGTGGAAGCAGATAGATGACAATATGCTAAAAGAACTGGCAAAGCCAGCCGCTGTTTTTTGTTTGTCACTGCAGGCATTTTATTGTTGAGGTGCTGTGAAGCGTGGAACAAGCTTTCAGGGGGAGGTTGGATTGATGGTTCTGGCTTAGATGTTAAGAAATTCCCAGCTTGTTTCTCTGGAGTGGAGTCACTCCTGCCCTGTTCTAGTGGTTTTATTGCCCTTTTCCCACATAAGGCATTCCAGAATGCAGAAGATCCCGGACCACACTTTGAAGTGCCAAAATCCATCCTCTGTTCCCTGACTATTCCTTGTCAGTTTAAATTAGATATTACTGGAGGCTGATGGGCGTTCAGCTGACATGCCAAGTGAGCCTAGCAGAGGCATGCTTCACTTTTATTTTTGTTTTATAGTAAACTACTTCCCTTCTAATTTGCCATCCTCAGAATCCCAAGGGGTTGATTATTTCAGGACAGGAACATAGTGGAATGTCTCCTGCAGACGTTTGTGGAGCAGCAGCCTGGTGCTTCCTTCACCTCTTCTCTACACCTTGGTGTTTGTGTCAGGTTTACCTGACACAGTTCTGCTGTTCTCCCACCCTTCTGCTGTGGTTAAGGATTTCCTGAGGGCTTTTCTACCAGAAAGGGGTCAAGTCCTGTAGAAGAATTTGAAGCAGATGGTAACTTCTTCTGTAAGCTGACCTGAGCTGGTGGCCTTCTGTTATGTCTCTTACCTGCCTGTGAAAATGCTCCCCTAGTACCTAGGAGGGTTGTATTAATGTGGCCAATTAGAGACAATTCAGATTATTTGGTGGGGGAGGGAAGGCACTGTGGCTTGGGAGGGTTATGCTTTGGACATGTGAAATGTTAAATCTTAATGGTTTTCCTGCCTGTTGGAAGCAAAATCTACACCTTATAATGCACCACGAGGCTTTGAGAAAATCCATCATTTCATCCAGCCTGTTCTGTGTCTTTTGCAGGAGATTTTGCTAAAGACCCAACAGACACATTGTTGCTGCTTTATGAATTTGAAGCCAGGTCCAAACTGAATGATCCATCACTTCACAACTTCATGGAGTCGGTTTGGGAGCAACCACAAATAGAGACCAAGACACTTGAAATCATTGCATGTAAGGGCTGCATTTGTGCTTTCCTGGTTCTTCAGGTCACAGGAAAAAGCTTTTGTTTCTCTTTCCTAACAGTTTGAGGTGATTATCATGCACTGCCCAACATGCAGAAAATGGGTCTATTGATATTCTGTCCTGAAGCAAAGATGCTTAGGATCTCAACAACGTCAGGCTTGGAGACACCAAACTGACATCCTGCTCCTGCCTCATTTTTCCATCCAGATTTTCATGTTCGAGGAGGCAAACAAAATTCTTGCTTTGGACAGCTCCCCCACCCCAGTATTTTTGGATTACTGCACTGCAGGTAAACAGCAGGGAGAGCACTTGTAAACTATGAAACCTGCTGTGCTTCTGCCTTGTCCTCACTGATGATGTGCATGGTAAGAAAGGTAGAGAAGCACTGCTTTGTGAGCAGCCCTGCTATTAAGCAAATCTCTTCTCAGTTGTCTATCCCAAGGGATCTGGCAACGTGCTGTAATTTATTTTAGTGACTTATGAGCTTAAAGTCTGACTTCAGTAAGTCCTTTTTTTTTTTTTTCTTCTTCTCTATTTTCTTGTACTTTTCAGCATTAGCAATGGAATCCCCAGCTCGGTATCCTGTGCTGTGTAAGAAAGCTCTCAGGAGTGCACTGAACCTTCACAGAAAGCAGACTGTCATTGATGCTGTGAAATTTAGGTTAGTGTTACCACACAGCTCTGCCACGAGCCTGTGACTGGCAGTGCTGGCAGGGAACTAAGCCTGCCATTTGAAAAAGGTGGGCTGTGGTTTCTGTGCAAGGCTCTACCTCTTGCTGGCCAAGCAGTGTCGCTCTGAGGGTCTCACAGACGTGTTAACTGCAGGTTGCTTGCTTGGCATGTTCTCTGGCACAGTCTTATTTGCAGTAAATAAATCTGTTGAGGAAGGAAAATGAAAATTGGATCTAGAAGAGGTTGTTTTTTGTGAGGAAGGTGTTCATTTCAGATGTCACTCTGCAGTAGTGAACTGGGTATTTCAAAGACAATGAAGTGAAGAGCAGTTCAGGGTTAAGAAAGCCCTGAGCTGAAGGTTAGGGATGTGATGCCACAGTACATGTGTGATTTATTTGGTGAGTACCTGGCTCTCTGACAGCTGTTCCTTATGCAGTCTGAAAGACACCCTGCTGTGTCTTCTTTCTCACTTGTGTCCCATGAAGGATTTTTTCCCTCCTTTCCAAGTTCCTTGCAGTAACCCCTGAGCAAAGGCAACTGTTAAATATTGCCTTTCTCACTTCACACTGAGGAAGACAGACCTGTTTTCAGGAGCCATGTCTTTGGTTCTGATTTTCTGAGGGCTTCCTTCTGTGTTAGAGACCAGCAATGAAAAATTAAGCCCTGCTTGCCTCTCTTGGCTCTGTTTTTGCACAGTTTGTTTGAGTGAGATCTGATACAGGAAAATGGGATGTTTCTGCCACAAGAGTGGGAGTGTAGGAAGCACCAAGGTAGACGTGTCTGTCTGACAATCCCAGAGCCATAGGACAGTGTGCTGCTGATACTGAAAAGCAGCTGTTTTGTGCACATGGCATTGAATGTTTCCTCCTTTGCTCTCTCTTTCAATTCTCAGCAAATGCTTACACAGCTTGATTAACATTTCTTTGCCGAGTGGATTAACAGACTTGGAGACCTCTGTCCTGCAGGAGGTGTGGGACTACTTTGAAGATGCTCTGAGTGTAGTCAGCAGCACAGTAAGTTGAACAGGAAGCCAAGAGATGGGAGATGATCTTGAGCACATTGGAAAAAAAAATTTTCATTAGACTGAGAATAATTAGTCAACTGAACATTATATGGTGTTACATGTGGAGACTTCTTCAGTAAAAGATACGCCAAAATTCCCTCAAAAGAAATGTCTCCTGGATATTTATGACTGCATTTCAAATTTCTCTGGGTTTTGTAAGGGTTTTTTAGAGATGTTTAAGGCCAAATTTTCAGTGGCTATTTTAGAAAAAACATCTTGAGCTATAGAAGATCTGTCTTTGCTCCTCTTGCTTTCTACATTCTTATGCTGAATATGTGTTTTAAATGCAGATTACTTTTTCAGATCAGTTTAAACCGCCTAAAATTTGGCTACCAGTCTTGCTTTTTTTCTAATCTCTTTTTTGTTAAATGTATTTGGGAACTTAACTGTGTTACTGTTTTTTTCTGAATTACCTAGAACTGGATCCCTGTGCTGCCAGTCCTTGTGGTGCCTCTTGCCTTGTTCTCTGTGAGGACAGGTGTATGGAGAGTAAAATCTTTATTTCAAAAAGCATTTCTTACCCAAGGAATTGCCCTTGCCTTAGGAGATAAAAACCCAGCTGCTTTCCCCCTCTAAAACTGGACTCCAACACACTCTTGACTTGCCAGTTTTAAAGTGAATTTTCTGTTTTCTGATGAGCTGCTGTTTCTGGTTTGCTACCCCAGAATGCTTACCCAGAGATGGAGATCCTTTGGTTGATGACCAGAGCCTGGAATACAGGAATATTTCAGTACACTGTGGGTAAATACAAGGAAGCTGAGCAGTGGTGTGGGCTGGGAATGCGTTTCCTCAATCACCTGGGATCCCTGAAGAAGAGCTATGAGGGCCATGTAAGTGCACACAGGGGGATCTGAGGAGGTGGGATTGGGTGCCTGGCCTGATTTTGAGATGTGGATCTGGGTGAATAAACCACTGGTGCTGATCTCTGCAGAGCCTGAGGAGCAGAATGGTACCTAAATATTTTTGGGGCAGCCTGATGCCAGAAGATTTTTTCAAAGTGAGGCCAGAAAAGTTTTGAAAGAGAAAAGAAACAGTAATGGAATGTCCTTCTATTGGAAGGATGATTTAAATGGATGGCTGGAAATAAACTTCTATTTGTGCCATGGGAGAACCCTTGTACCTTTGCCTGCTTTAACTGAAGTCAAGGTGCTGTACCAGCTTACTAAAATCAGCTGTTGTAGGAACACTTTCAAGCTTGGTTTCTGGTGTAATATGATCTCTTATAAATAGGGTTTAGGCTGATGTGAATGGAATCCTTAAAGCTCATCTTTTCAGGTGTAGCTTAGCCACTTCTGTGAGGGAGAAATTTCAGAGCCAGTACCTTTGTAGATGACACTTTGCAATGACACTTTTTTTTTCCAGTCTGTCACAAGTAAGCTCCTTTCTGCAGCTTTTGGCTGGTGCTCCTGTCTCGATTCTGTACAGCCTGGCTGGTGTCACCTTTCATTCTCTGATGCACAATCTGGGCAATCAAGGGTTGGCTGTAACTCTAATACCATTTTAAATACGTCAGTCAGGGCAGTAAGAGTTGAGATCACTCCCTCCCAACCTCAGCATCAACTCCCAACTCCTGTGATTTGGTGAATAGGTTTGTTCACTGATGTAAGACTCAGATACAAACTATGCTTTATGACACCTTTATTAGGTTGCACTGATTTAACTATTTTTTTTCTCAGCTATTGTATTTAAACCTGAGCCAAAATCAATCTGAAATTTCAGGTTTAGAAGCTCCCACCTATTCCCTTTGCTTCTGTTCCCTGTCACTTTGTTGTGTGTAGTTGAATGATCCAGCTTTGTCCATCCCTGCTGACAGCTGTGGTGCTTATATTCTGCAGATGATTGGTCTTTATAGTGAAGTCCTGGACAAACTGGACAGAGCAAAAGGATTTATTCCAAGTGAAGAATAATGAGAGCCACAACTGCAAAAAAAAGGGACAGCAGTCTCTCCTGGAAATATTCTGCTGAATGAAAGAGCCATTAGCTCTGCAAAGGCATGAGGTCCTGGGAGCAGTGGAAAAGAAACCAGGATCCCCCCTTCATGTTGGCAAAGAAGTTATGTACTTTTTTGGAAGTGTTTATTCAATAAATGTAATTGTTTCCCTCTAGGGAATAATTTTCATTCTCCTGAGCTATTTAACAGTTAGAAATAAATATTTAACAGTTAGAAATAAATATTTAACTTTTTCATGAGCTGCGTCTGCTGTTGTGTAACAGGCTGGTTTAAATGTCTGATTTTAGTAGTAAGTGGCAGTGAGAAGGACAAAAGTATTCCAAAAGTATTCCATCTCCTCTGGATGTCACAGCTGCCTTGCTGCATAAATATTTATCAGATCAGTTTATTTTGCAGCCCATTTCAGTGTGGACAGGAATTCGGAGCTGGTTTCACAGTCAGTTAGGGCACACTTTGAGCTCAAGGAAAAAGCTGAGGCTTTCACTGGCATCGGGTTCTGAGCTGCTGTGAGGGCTCCACCCCTCCCTCTGAGCTCACCGGGTAATTGTTGTTGTGTTGTGGCTTGCACACACACGTGAACAGGTGAAGGTGTCACAGGGACCAGGGGACAGAGGTCACGTTTACCCAGGAGGTGTCAGCAGGTAATTACACACAGCAGGAAGCATTAGAGGTGGTTTTGCCCACAGCCAGAATGGTTTGAATATTTTCCTTGGAGATACTGAGTTTGATTCCTTTTATGCTACAGATTTCCCCGAGGAGGCCGGATCAGATCAGCCACAGGCTCTGCTGATAGTACTCACCTCTTCTCTGTGGATTTTCACATGGCACATTTTATTCCAGGCTGAGTATTTACACAGGGTTTAAGTAGGGCAAGAATTCCTCTCCTAGCTGAATCAGACTTAATGAGCTGCATTCCCAGTGGCTGTTCCCAGTGGGCAGTTTGTGTGCCATCGCTCTGCTTTGCAGGTGTTTGCTGGTGTGGATGAAGGCTGGGCCAGGGTATTTTCTACTTGCTTTATAGGTCAGTAGCCCATCCAGAGTGACTGTGGGTTATAAATCTAAACCAACAAGAGCTGACTTGGAAGAAAAAAGGAACAGTGCTGCTCTTTTATCCTCCAGTCTTCTCTTTTCAAAATTGATCCCTGTTTTCTTTGGGCTCGGAGATGCCGGGCGCTCATCCCTGGGTGTGCACAGATGGCTCCAGGGGGTGGCATTGCACTGGTAGTTCCCGATGTGCACGTCACTGAGGAAGCTGCAGGGTGTGCTGGATCCCGGCTCTGGAATTTGCTCCTGAGAACACAAATGGATCCTCTAGGGCAGGAGGTCACAATTTTCTCCCCTTTCTGTATTTTATGCCCTGTCTTTTTTTTTTTTTTTCCTTTTCCTAATTTGATAATCTCGTAACTGTTTGGGAAGGAGCCCCTTTCACCCCCTCTCACCCAGAGGAGGTGGCCCCACAGCAGCTTTCCCTTGGGGATGCACCTCGGGCCACCTCCCCCCACACCCTGTGGGAAGAGCTTTGCTGTTGTGGCTGCGTTGGGCGTTCTGGAGGGGCGGGAAGGAAGAGGGGCCAGAACCTGGAATTGAAGTGGTCCCAGTAATCAAGGTAATTGGCAGAGCGCTGAAGCTCATTAGGGGATTGGGCAGAAGCTTTTGTCAAGTAGAGCAATGAACTAAGGGAGGAAACACCACGGTCATCCCTGTGCTGAGCCAAGGGTGGCCCCAACGAGGGATTGCGAGTCTCTCACGAGCTCCCGGGTGCTCCTTCCACTAAGAGGTGCTGCTGCACCCACTGACCCCCACAACGAAACCCTGAAGCTAAACATGACCCTCATTTTGGAGGCAAGGGATATAAATAAACACTGTAAGTCAAGGGGAACCTGAGGATTCTTCCAGGAAAGAGACACCTTTGACACGATGATAACTTTACCTGCTGCACAGCCACAAGTCCTGCTGTGACATCCTGAGGAGAGCAGGGAACAGCAGTCCTTGAAGGCTGTGCTGCCAAGCATCATTAGCAACGAAGGGCTGTCCACGTCCTTCCATCTCAGGCATCCAGGGGTAGAAAATTTTTGAGAAAATGATAATCAAATTCCTTTCAAGCCCCTCTTCCAGTAGCCTCAGAGATCCTGTGCTCCTCTGCTTAACCAAGGCCAAGGCAGTTAATTATCCCAAGCTGCAGACAGAAGCACAGACATGTTTCTCTCTAGCACAAGCAGCTTATGGTCTAATTTTCTAGAGGTGTCTTAGGGCAGATTAGTTTCATGCCTGTTCCAGGCAGCTGTAGCAGGACATCGTGGCAGAGAGAACCATCCCCCCTACATTTCACAAGGAGACAGGACCATTAACAGGACAATGCTCTGCAGTTGTTTGGTCCAGGACTTTCCTGGTAGGCAGAGCTCTTTGTCCTTAGCCAGAAAAATAGCTTGTTAAACCCCTGAGATTGGCTCAGTTGGTTCGAGCATGGTGCCAATAATAAAAAGCTGCAACAGAGCAAGTTCTTCCTTCACACCACCCTCATTCTCTTCCCATGCCGGTTTCTCTTCCAGTGGTTGTCTCCGCCTCACAGGAGTGACAGGGTTCATTTGAGAACATAACCCCGTGTTCCTCTCCCTCACTGGAACCTGAACATTTCCTGTCACAGCAGGTCGAGATGACACATCAGCTCAGGACACATCCTGGTTTGCCCAGGGCAGAGTGGCTGCAGCTCAGGGTTACTGGGACTAACCAGGACTGGACAGAGCAGCCTGGCAGCCCCTGTGGCAGCCAGGAACAGACAATGCTTCTGTGATGCTTCATCATTCCAAATCTGTCATTATGCAAGCAAACAGTTGGATTTTTGAGAGCGACTGCTGCTAATATTAGATCTGCTTAGCAACTGTTTGATCTGCCGGGGGTTTGTGGACAACCACCACCACCACCAGACAGCTGAGCTGATCAGCTGAAGGAGGTTCTAAAGGGTGTTTAATTTGTCCAATGAGCTTCATAAGCTGGGAACTGTCTGCAAAATGCATGCCCATGCTCAGCCAATTCTTCTGTTCTCCTGAAATCTCAATTCGCTTCTCTTGTGTGCAGTTTGACAGGAAAAAAGGTAATATAATATTTAAGAAACAAACCCCTCTCACCTTTCCATTAGCTCAGCTAAATGACAAAGCAGATTCAGGCAAGAATGTAGAGTGACACCCCACTAACCCCATTTGTCTTCCAGTGAACACTCCCTTTGTCTGCACTTGAAGGTATTAAAAATGATACTAATTGTCCTTACAGCTTCTTTCTCCTCTCTGATATCTAAGCAGCACATTAAACTGTAAAAAGAAGCTCTGTATTGTCTGGACTATGTTTTTACTTTGCTGTCTTCATAGTCAATACAGGAACAATTATGCAGCAACATACAAACCCTATTATTTGTAAAGCAACCTCCCCACAATTCAAGCTATGACCCAAAATACACTTATGGTGTCACATCATCAGGTCAGACTCAACCTGTGTGACAACCACCCAACCACAAAAGAGCTTTTCAGTGGCCTGGTTACAGGTCCACTCACTTAATTTTCTCTTTTTCTTTTTAAATTTTATCTTTTTTTTTTTTCTATTTCCTTTTTGCATTAGGCAAGTTCTCAGTGACCACCTTTTGTACTAAAAAAAAAAATTTTTTTTTAAACCCCTGTCAACACTTCAGTTTGCCATGAAGAGACCATATCAATAGTTGCTAAAATCACCAAAAAACCAGACCTGGCACACAACGAAGGACTCTACAAGAAGATCTCAAAGACAAGAGTTCTTTGCAACTCTCTGTTTATTAAAAATATATGTCTCCTTGGAAGAAACACTGTTAACCAACTACTGTTGTCATGATCGATTCGACACTGTCAGCTAAGCCATGGAGTTATCATCTTTTTTTCCACGTGACTCAATAGAGGGAGACAGGCTATTAGGAAAAAAAAAAAGGAAAACAAAAAAAAAAGACAGGAATAGTGTGACTAGCACCTTGAGGACTTTTGTTTCACTTACTCCACTTCTCCAGGGACTGACATTTACAGCAGCCGGAGCAGGAGCAGCGGGGCAGGGGGGGATGCTGAGTGGGGAATCCATTGCCAGAGTTCCATGTGCTCCTTTAGGGTCGGTCCCACCGGCAGCACCACCCTTCCTGCCCCACACCGCGCCCACGGCTGCGCCTGTGTCCTGCTCCTGCCCCAGGAGCTGCTCAGTCCCTGCAGGGCTCCTTGGGAGGCAGGAGGGGCAAAGAGGGGCACATGGACAGTCCTACAGTTCCTGCTCACATTGACACCCGCGGCCGACCCGCACCGACTGACACATCGGTACCCATCGCCTCCAGGAGGGGGGCAGCACCCCCTGCCCTCACCTATCCCTGCCAGACAGGAGAACACTTACCTGCTCGTGCCTGCGCAGTGACCCTGCCCTGCTGCTCGGCCGGCTCTCGGGTGGGAGCACTCGTTCCTGCCCACGGGCGCCCAGCAGCGCAGCTCCTCAAAGGCCACGCGAGTGTCCCCCCAGCTTCACACCGGGGTCTGTTCCCACACTGGAGCCCCACCCAAGCGTGGAAACCAAGGTGTGCTCAGGGACAGACGTGGCTCAGCTCAGGGCCGGCAGTCTGGGCGCTCACAGCTGTCTCACTTCAAAACTCTCAGTGCCCAGCAGGACGGGCAGCTCTGCAGCCCCTGCCCTCAGCCCTGCCAGCACGCGGCACCTCGGGGTTCTGGGGGCACCCTGAGAGGGGGAGCAGAGCCCAATTTCAGAAACAGGATTCATGCAGAGGTGCCAGAGTCAGAACCAGGCAAGGTGGCCACGCAGCCACCCACCAGGCCCCAGCTCCCAGCGGGCGAGGTCCTGCTGGGCTGGAAGGATGGGCCTTCCACTGGGAAAGCCACCCCCGACACCTGCCGGCAGCAGAGCCAGGAATCTGGCACGGAGCAGGGAAGAGAGGAAGGTTTCTCAGTTCTGTTAGATTTGGAAAATGTGAGTGTCCATCCAAGGCACAGCTGGGGGCTTTTCCTGCCAGTGGCTAATGCAGAAGGGAGTGCCAGTGTGCTGCCACGAGCCAGAACGGGTCATTTCACCTGCACCCACAGGCACAGGGCCAGTCCAACATCCCAGCTTCTCCACAGCAACACAGGACAGTGAGTACATTTGTTCCATGTGGCCAGTAGAGTATTTCTTAACTAAACACCACAGACCTAGATTCTATTTACAATAGAGCCAGCTTAAAAAATAAGTTAAAAAACTGGATTTTATACCCATTCAGTTCAT